TTTTTTTTTTTTTTTTGAGTTTTTCTGAATTGCAAAATCCATAATACCTTCTAGCTCTAATATTATATAGATGTCATAGTTGTGGTTATGTCTTAGTTGTAAGATATTATTAATGATGATTTGGACAACCCAAACTCCATTTCTTCCTATCCCTCACTATTATCTTGAAAAAATGTCATTATAATATTTAATCGACTATGTTACAAGTGTTGAAAATAAACAATTTTTTGTTTTATGGGGATCCATTGAAATGTCTTCAAGTCTCTCTTTACTTTCTCACCAAAAACAAATACCCATCTTCTTCTTCTTTTTCCCAAGTATAATAATCTTATGTTGAGCAATAGTTTAAGGGTATAATGAAAATGAAATCTACTAAACGGTAGAAATGACTCAATTATATAGAAAGATCCTTCAATTTTATTGAGAATCCTTCAATTACTTGGGATTGAACAACCCAAAGTTGATTTCATCCTTCCCCTCGTTATACATTAAAAAATAATGTCATTCCAATACTTATTCGATTATGTTACAATAGTTTTGGCATTATACTATTTTAGGGAGCATTTTTAATAGAAAAGTTTAAATAAAGTGTGAAATATTTTTAGCAATTCTAAGAAGATTCTCTATTTTAGTATCAAAATAGCCGTTATAATCTCGTATAAATAGAAAGTCTATTAGAGATAAAAAAAAAAAATTAGGAATTAATTCTCTAAAATACTAAATTTAGTGGAAATAAAGAGACTGTAGAGTAAGAGTGTGTTTGAGATCACTTAAATCCCATACATTAGCAATCACCTGCTTGTTATAGTTATTGGTTAAATGCAAGAGCCACTTGCTAATTAGTTATTATAGCTATTGGTTAAATGCAAGAGTCACATGCTAGAGTCGAACCCAGAATTTGCTGGTCAATTTAATCCAATTTCCCATGACTGCATTCTAGAGAGGCTTTCATGTCTCCAGACTAAATATGGCTGAAAATATTGTTAATAAAGAGAAATGCTAATGTTTCCTTCGTTGGTGGTTTAATAGTAAGTCGTATTTGCTTAGGGTTATTTTTTATTCTCATATGGGTTATCAAACAGGGATTTACGGGAGTAACGTAATTTGTAACTAAGTTTGAATAATTTGTTAGGTTCTTTTAACAAAATGAGATCAATAAACTCGACTCAAACTCACAAAATTCTACTCGCGTGGCATGCCTCAATCCCACTTATTGAACCATAAATGATTCATGGGCCAAATGATGATTTTTTTCTCTCTCTCTCATGTGGTCCTTTTAAAAAATATCCTGGGAAACCTTAGAATTCTAATTTGTAGTGTGTAAACCAGTCACTCGAGTCATGCACATCATTACATGGAATACTTTTATGTTCTAGTATAATCATAATTCTTGGCCAATGTCTTTTATACGCCCCCCCTTATTGGGTTTTTTTTGACGGTTTAGAACTTCTTCAATCACACAATCTTTAGACATGTGGTTGTTATGTAAATTTTGTTTTTTTTTTGTTTTTATGTTCAACGTTAAGGGTATACGGATTAACTTACGTATATCTTGATTAATTCACTCTTCAATATGATCAAAAACAAATTCTCCAGGACAGAACTAGAACCACACATATTTGAACAACTANATTCGATTAGCCGGATATAGATTAATATTTTTTACCGTTAATCCATAACTAAATTCAAATCCGATACATTATATTTAACAGATTTGAATTTAGATATACATATATTNTTCGATTAGCCGGATATAGATTAATATTTTTTACCGTTAATCCATAACTAAATTCGAATCCGATACATTATATTTAACAGATTTGAATTTAGATATACATATATCTAATTCGATCCGAATTATTTATATATTTTTATATAAAATTTAAAAAAATTAAGTGATTATTTAAAAAATTAGTTGAAATTTATGTATAAGTTGTTAAAAATTAGTTAATTAAGTTATTCATATTGAATCGAATTTTCGAATTGTTAACGAATTTGAATATAGATCACAAAAATAAAATTCGTTGGATTATCGAATCGAATTTGGATCCAAATCAGTCAGACTTCGATCAAAACCCGATCCATTCACACGCTTAGCTACTGCTAACACAATTTCACACACAAATGGTTTTTATATAGCAATTGTTTGTGCAAACTAGCCGTTGGATAAAATAGTCGTTGTCCACTTCCAACTGAGCCCCCTATCAAGGCTATTTTCAGAATTTTCAAAGAATAGTTTGCTTACATAAGTAAACTATTCACTCACATTGACATAGTGAAGTCGGTATGGAGGAATATGAAAGGGACAATTAAAATAGAGATGAGGGCAATGTTATATTTCTAACCTGAGGGGGTCTGGTTGTTATATGGACAAACTTTGAAGGATATGGATGTAATTTATCCTTAATATAATGATCATATTCACTACGGTAAAAAGCTTGACAGTCAAAAGTAGTGTTACCAGAATCGGACCGGATCGGGCGGTCGGACTGGTTCAACCGTGAATCGAGACCCTAACGGGTCCGATTCCTTAGTTGAACTGATTAAGGAAGCGAACCGGTTAAAAACCAAAAAATCGGTCTATTTTTAACAAAAACTCTGAACCATCGGTTTTATAAAAATCGGACGGTTTAATGTCTATTTAAAAATTAAATTACATAAATAAATTTTTTCACCCAAAAATAGCTGATTTTTTAAAACTTTTTCTTGAATAAATTATAAATGACACCCATTTTTTTTTTTAATTTACTTGAACCTCTTTACTTTGCTTTAAAATACAATAACCCCTACTTTGTTATTTAATTTCATTAATTTTATGACAAATTATATATATTTTATATTTTTTAGCTAAATTATTAAGTTTTATAATTATTATATATATTTTTTTATTTTTTTATTATATGACCGGTCTGACTAGTTGATTCAACGGTTGAACCAGTGAACCATTGACCAAGTTCCCTTGCCGGTTTGATGACTGATTCATTATGATAACATTGGTCAAAAGGTGATGTATTGTCATTGTTTTGAAGGGCATCGTGGACATCCAAATTTGGTTGCTAGTAAATTTTTCTACTTATAGAATCTGTCGTATGTACTCTACCTCAGAATATGAATTTGTATATACCACTGTTTTGAAACCCGGCTCGGCCTGGCGAGTTGACCCGGTGAACCGGAGGCTGAGCCAGGCTGGTTTAGTTATTGGATCGTTTGAGCAAAGAAATTGGACAAAACCCGTTGAACTGGCCGGTTTAGTAACAAACCCGTTGAACTGGACAGTTTAAAGCAAACCGGACGAGTTGCTTCAAATACTATAAATACTAGGTTTTGAAGTTATTTGGGCATTTTTTGCCCTAATCGTTTTGCACCCAGCCACCAACCATCTCCTGTCTTCTGTTCTGCGCCTCTTTCTCTCGTCTGATCTGCCATCTTGATGAGACATTCGAGTTTGAGGAGAGAATCGTTGTTGATGTTGCGGCGGTGGAACACTCGAAGCCTCTCTCGAACTCGAACTCGAACTTGAAGCCGCTGTAGAACTCGAAGCCTTAAGCCTTGGGTAGCTGATGAACTCCAATCCAAAGAGAAATTGGGTAGCTGATGAACTCAAAATTTTTCATAATTAGATCCTTGAGCCTGCGCTCCTCAAGGTATTCAAGGTGGTCTTCTTTAAGGTAGAGGATAATCTTAGTGCCTCTACCCAGAAACTCACCCGATGTGTCTCTGGTTACAGTGAATGACCCATCATCTTGGGACTCCCATAATTATACATCCCTCTCAACAGGTACATCTCTTTCTTGGTAATTTCTCTACTATTTTAGTACTGACTGTATTGTAGATTAACTTGGTAAATTAGTTGATGATACTTGATATTGCATATGAAATTAAGGGAATGAGTTTTGACTTAATTGTTACTGATTTATCTATNCTTGATATTGCATATGAAATTAAGGGAATGAGTTTTGGCTTAATTGTTACTGATTTATCTAATTGACATATGAAATTGGGATTAACTGGGTTTTGACATATGAAATTGGGGTTTTAATCTGTTTGATTAAGAGTTAGGTGGAGGTGAAATTTTACTGCCTAATTGAGCATGAGTTTTAGTTTAATTGTTACTGATTTATCTATTTGATTGAGAATCTATTTGGTGATTTTGAGATTTTTGTTTGATCTAATATATATTAAGCATATTATTTTTATAATTTTTGTGATTTTAAGCATATTTATTATTAATAATAATTTTTATTTATTTTTTCTTTTATTATCGGTTCAACCCATGGCTTAACGATTAAACCAATGACCCACTACCTCAATCGTTTTCCCGAATTGACTTTCGAGTCGAATTTTAAAACTATGTTATATACTAACAAGTCCCTCCCTCTAATCTTTTCAACCACAATCAAATTTCGCCTGCATTTAAGATAAAACAGAGGCGTCAATTCAGTATCACAATCTTTTTGATGTAATAAAACAAAACTGATGCCCATGTAGGTAAAAGTATCATACCATGATGAGAGCTGTGATGATGTCTCTCGTAATTTTAATGGTAGTCTCCTTTGTGTCGCTTTTCAAGGTACGTTCCCCGTAAAAAGTCAATAACTCGTCCACCATATCTATATCAACTTCAATACAATTATCTACAGAGTTATTATTATTCTTTTTTGTCGTGTATTTATCGATAACCTTGTCGATGAACCCATCAATTGATTTACGAGCATTTGTAAGCCTCTTGTTGAATTCTTGAGCATTAATCCAACCCAAAAATGGAATAAAATCGGCAATATTAAAGGCTCCAAAAAGCTTGGAAAATTCCTATAATATCTTAATAAATTTACAATAATGTTGGACTGATCAAAATTTAAGACCAAATTTAGAACTCAAATGACATGATAGTTGATTTGAACTTTTTTGATTAGTGTCATATCATTTGAGCCTCAATAAAAATTTTAAATAATCAACTGCCATGTTAATTAAATTTTATATTTGATCTCAAATTTTGATTAGTGTAGTATTACTCATAAATTCATCTTGTCCTTCGTTTGAAATAGAGCCAAACGCGGCCCTATACGTTATGTTTTTAGTCAAGCCAAACACCAAGTCACCAATATTCACCGGCGATCCAACTTTGGTGGCAATGGTTCGAACCAGCGAGTCAATTTCGTCACGTACTGAAGCCCACGACTCGGCTCGTTTCCGGCTGAACATTTTCACGACGGATATTTTACGCATTGGACGCCAAAATGGGCCGTAGTGGGCAAAGGCCATGTCGGCTCGATCATACGTCAGGTAGGTTATGGCAACAGTTGCGGGCCGATTCGAGAACACATTGTCTTGGGCCTGAAGGATTTCACGGGCTATGTCCGGAGACGACACGGCCACCATGTGTAAGGCTCCCATTTGAAGGTAACACAGTCCACCATACTTCTTGGCTAGCCGGGCTAGCCCGCGGTGGGTCAACTGGTCCATCATGGGCAAGCCTTTTGGGCCCGGTGGGTATGGAGGTTTCCGTCGTAACCAGGCTATCAAAATGGTGAAAAGCAAGAGAGGAAGAAAAAAGTCGAAGAACATTGATAAGGGTTGCAGAGGTTGAACAGAAGTGTTCATGGCTGATGGATGTGTTCCTCGAGCTGTAATGTTGGTGAGTTCATGGATTGTGAGATATGGTTTGTATGTATAATAGGCGTAACCTATGTTTAAAGGCACCGTACAATATAAATAATTTAAAAAAAATTGTTGGTAGTCATTGAACGAGTCTATTTGAAACCGTCGAATAAATTTATTGAAATCTATTATATTTTATATTATAAATAATTAATATAATAGTGGATTATAAGAATCTATTTGGTACGAGGATTATATAAATAGGGAAATACCATAATTATTTAATTTGATATTGTTAATTACCATTTATGAGCAATTATAGAGAGATCCCCATTGGTATGAATAATTACCTTGCAATTCCTTCTTTGATTATTGATGATAAATCCCTCAAAGTTGGTGTTTCGTTAAAAAAATATTCAATGTAAAGGTGATGCCACATCATCAATGTGACGCGGTATCACCAACTAGTTGGAAAAGTGAGATTCACCAATTTTGTTTGGTGTTTTATTATTAATTAATTATACCATACAAAATCACAACTACCACCCCACAACCATCTCAATCTCTAGGCACTGCCACAACCATATTATAATATGCTCATTCAGTTTGATGCATCGATACTTCACGCGCATTGGATTGACCTTATAAATTATTGAGATTTAATTTATTGACTTAATTTATTATAGTCATTGAATTGAATGTGAACTCTATAAAATATTAAAATTTGATTTTAATCCAACGATTACAATAAATTTATATTATTAAATTAACAAATTATATCAAATTTTTAGATTCCAATAACATTACTCATCTTTTACAAAGGACGGGACGACAACTATGGTGAATATCTCCACAGGAGAGATATTGAGAGGGATGTAGAGTAATAATTTACACAAGAGAGGGTGGAATTATTATTTGGATAAATATTAGGGAAGTCCCTTTGATATGGATGTAAAGTACATAAATAATTGAACGTCTACATCGCACGGCGCAATATATATTCTTCAATCTTCATTGACAAATTGAAACTGTTACCAAATAGAAAATCTGTACACAGTTGTCTTATTAAGAGCGATTACGCCAATAACCAATTCCAAAAATATGAAATAAAGCTTTGGTTTCCCACTTTGGAAGCCCCGTGTCGGCATTGCTACAAATAAGGTGTCATTTTTTGACACGATGGATTAACACGATAAAAAACTAAACAGTTCAAATTTTTTTTAATTCATTTGTTCCGTAAATCAATAAAATTTACACGACAAGATTAATAAATGAATCGATTAAGATCTAAAATAAATCGATATAAGTGAAATGTTTTTTTATACGAATTCATGAATACCCAACACGATTAACAGACTTAACGGTAGGTAAGTTTCTCGACCCAAGTATAAAATATTCTCTCTGTTCTTAAATATTTGTCGTTTAATGAAACCAAAATATAATTAATATTTTTTCTTCTAAATTTACCCTTAATTTTTCAATAAATTAGATTAGGTGGAGATTAAGTGTCTTTCATATTCCTTTTATTCTCAATACGTATTGAATAAAGGTATTTTAGTATTGTGCAATTATTTTTTACTTATATTAAAACTATTTAATAACCTCCTTAATCCCTGTACAAAAACCTTAAACGACAAATATTTAAGAACGGAAGGAAAAATATAATATGCTAAAATGAATAATAAAAGTATTAAGTTAATGTTAAATATAAATAACTCAAGATTAATATGATTAACATGTGTAATTAATATTATATAAATAAGATATCAATTTTTTTTTATCATTGTTAAAATAAGAGGGTTTTTATCCGTACTTAATATTTTGTTGATTTAGTAAAATTTTAGTTTAAAGTTAGTGGTTAATCCGACCACAACATGATAATGAATAAGTTGGATTAATGTCATAACATTTGAATTGATGCAATAAATAAATTAGATTAAAATTGAATAGAGCTTAATATGAACCCAAACTAATAAGGTTCGGGCACGACTCCACACAAACACAATATGATTGAGTGAGTGGTATACAACGTTTAAAAGTTGATGATAAAGCATCAAACTTAGCCGCTTCATTTGTTTCACGTAGCTCGTCTTCTTTGAAACATTTTAGTTGCTTAAAACTTTTTTTTTTTTTTTTTGAGTTTTTCTGAATTGCAAAATCCATAATACCTTCTAGCTCTAATATTATATAGATGTCATAGTTGTGGTTATGTCTTAGTTGTAAGATATTATTAATGATGATTTGGACAACCCAAACTCCATTTCTTCCTATCCCTCACTATTACCTTGAAAAAATGTCATTATAATATTTAATCGACTATGTTACAATAGTGTTGAAAATAAACTATTTTTTTTTTATGGGGATCCATTGAAATGTCTTCAAGTCTCTCTTTACTTTCTCACCAAAAACAAATACCCATCTTCTTCTTCTTTTTCCCAAGTATAATAATCTTATGTTGAGCAATAGTTTAAGGGTATAATGAAAATGAAATCTACTAAACGGTGGAAATGACTCAATTATATAGAAAGATCCTTCAATTTTATTGAGAATCCTTCAATTACTTGGGATTGAACAACCCAAAGTTGATTTCATCCTTCCCCTCGTTATACATTAAAAAATAATGTCATTCCAATACTTATTCGATTATGTTACAATAGTTTTGGCATTATACTATTTTAGGGAGCATTTTTAATAGAAAAGTTTAAATAAAGTGTGAAATATTTTTAGCAATTCTAAGAAGATTCTCTATTTTAGTATCAAAATAGCCGTTATAATCTCGTATAAATAGAAAGTCTATTAGAGATAAAAAAAAAAAATTAGGAATTAATTCTCTAAAATACTAAATTTAGTGGAAATAAAGAGACTGTGGAGTAAGAGTANGTCTATTAGAGATAAAAAAAAATTAGGAATTAATTCTCTAAAATACTAAATTTAGTGGAAATAAAGAGACTGTAGAGTAAGAGTGTGTTTGAGATCACTTAAATCCCATACATTAGCAATCACCTGCTTGTTATAGTTATTGGTTAAATGCAAGAGCCACTTGCTAATTAGTTATTATAGCTATTGGTTAAATGCAAGAGTCACATGCTAGAGTCGAACCCAGAATTTGCTGGTCAATTTAATCCAATTTCCCATGACTGCATTCTAGAGAGGCTTTCATGTCTCCAGACTAAATATGGCTGAAAATATTGTTAATAAAGAGAAATGCTAACGTTTCCTTGGTTGGTGGTTTAGTAGTAAGTCGTATTTGCTTAGGGTTATTTTTTATTCTCATATGGGTTATCAAACAGGGATTTATGGGAGTAACGTAATTTGTAACTAAGTTTGAATAATTTGTTAGGTTCTTTTAACAAAATGAGATCAATAAACTCGACTCAAACTCACAAAATTCTACTCGCGTGGCATGCCTCAATCCCACTTATTGAACCATAAATGATTCATGGGCCAAATGATGATTTTTTTCTCTCTCTCTCATGTGGTCCTTTTAAAAAATATCCTGGGAAACCTTAGAATTCTAATTTGTAGTGTGTAAACCAGTCACTCGAGTCATGCACATCATTACATGGAATACTTTTATGTTCTAGTATAATCATAATTCTTGGCCAATGTCTTTTATACGCCCCCCCTTATTGGGTTTTTTTTGACGGTTTAGAACTTCTTCAATCACACAATCTTTAGACATGTGGTTGTTATGTAAATTTTGTTTTTTTTTTGTTTTTATGTTCAACGTTAAGGGTATACGGATTAACTTACGTATATCTTGATTAATTCACTCTTCAATACGATCAAAAACAAATTCTCCAGGACAGAACTAGAACCACACATATTTGAACAACTATGGTGCCTCTTAATGAAACTCAAATTAGGAAGCTTCGAGTTTTAACACTTGAAATCTTGACACTAAACAACCTCAAGATATTTATATATATATATATATACCACGAAAAATAATGTTCGGGCCTAATTCAAATTTTTTTGGGGGTAGGGAAAGAGACATAAACTATTGAACTTAAGAAAATAAAACATTTACAAGACAAGAAGTATTATTGGACCAAAAGTCCGTTGATTCCGGACCTAATTTAATAACCTAATATAATAGTGTAAGTTTAGTAATATTGATTCTGGTATTAGAAGAAATTCTATTTCAATCTAAAAACAACATCAAATTAAGTTGATAAAATAGATTTAAATGATATTATGACAAGCCATTATTAGCTTGAGCTTTCATAATCAAATCAATAAGAAGTGGCGGAATAATCAAAGAAGACTCAGTACACTCAAGTTTGTGGCTTTTAGATTTCTTAGCTCAAAACACTTGGAAAAATAAGACTAAGCAGCCATCAAAATTTAGGGAGAAATTATGACATAAAAATTATTTTTTGAATATCAGGTGGTTTGATTTCATTTTGAGGCTAAGATATTTTTTTTTTGGGGGGGTCGGGAAAAAATGGAGGGTCAACTAATAAGATAATAATTCTTTTGGACGTGACTATAAGGGTCCTCCAATGTGGAATGTCTAATTTGAATCATAGTTATTAACTTGAAATGACAGTTAGTCACTATAACATCACCAAAATCAAACAACAAAATCACGTTACTTCTACGGATCGAACTCTGTTTAATAATCACGTAAGAGCTAGAGATGACCGTAATCAAATAAGACTTATTACTAGGCCCCTAGCTGAGGTGGTATCTTAGTATGATCTTAAAATATTAAAATTGATTCTAATATTTTAAAAATTAAAATTTCATATAATTCTAACTTAATGATAATATTGAATTCAATCCAGCAAATAATGGATTGGAAGTTTCGAACCTCACTGCCACGAGGCCCACGATATCGACATTACGTACACAAACTTAGAGATATTGCAGAAAAATCAAAACAATTTCAATGCCAGGGCCCAAAAACCAATCAAACAAACTTCCCTCGGTGGAGGTACAAAACGGCCTAATATCTGGTGGGTCCACATAAATTCTACCACCACCACCCGAACACCCTAATCTACGATAGTTTTCAACGGCCAGCACGCACCGCTGAACGGTTTTGAAAATTTCAGCCTACTCAAAACAATCTTTAGGAATTATTGGCAACAAGGACTATCTAAGAATTTTGGCAATTTATTTAAATTATGTAATAAAAAATTTATTCTTTATAAATATTCTAATTCTAGTGTAAATAATCTTTTTTTAATCAGATCATGAGGTACGTATAAATTAATTAATACAACATTGACCGTAAAATTAAAAAAAAAAATAATAAGTGAAATACTTTGGATCCAAAAGGTATACCAAATGACCATTGGATGATTGGGATTTATCAACTTTTTAACCGGTTCCACTTTGATCAAATAATTTTTAGAGTAATATTATTGAGACCTATTTTATTTATTTATTTTGTTAACTTAATTCACTATAACATTTAGATTGACTCTGAGCCTCATTAAACATTAAAATTTTATGTTAATCCAATTATTTTACTAAAATTACATCATTAAATCAATAAATTATTTTAGAGTTTTATGTTCACATAACATTACTCTAATTCTTATTAATTTGGAATGCTATTTTATATCCCAAATTTAGGATCCCTAACATTGCTCTAATACTAGTTTTTTTTGGGAACTGCAGCAATAATACTAAATTAGTTATCAAAAAGAGTAATGTTAGATGAACTTAAAAATTAGACTTATAATCTCAACTATTGAATAGGTATTGAGTCTCAATAAATACTGCGACCCACATTGAAATCAACGGTTAAAATTATTAAGTTTAATTTTTAAATCTATCTTTTGAAATTATCAAGTTGAAAACTTTATAATGTTGAAACTTTGTTGTCACGGGAAAAAAATATTCAATATAACGGTAATGCAACATTGTTATTGTCACCAATTAATTATAAATAAACAAACACATCTTACTAAGTTTTATAACCATTAATAACTTTCACATTTGATAACTAACACGAAAGATTAATGAATTTCAGTTATCCTCATTTATTCATTTATAATTAGTCAGTGACATCATTTGATTTGATGAGAAAAATGTAATGTAACGCTAGATTGAATGTTTACTCCTCCCTCTCTATTTAACTTAACCTGCAAATAAATGAATTACAACCATAAATAATTAAAAACCTAAACTTAGAAAACCTCCCTAATTTCCGTTACAAAGCTATAACTGCAAGTCTGCACTAGCTAGACCTATCGAACAGGGACNAAACCTCCCTAATTTCCGTTACAAAGCTATAACTGCAAGTCTGCACTAGCTAGACCTGGACAAACGTGGCTCCGATGACCCGGTCCACAAACCTTAATCTAAAAGGCTAAACCTCAACAAATGGGAACCAGTGAAGCAAAACCGGGTTCGATAATTTCAGCCGTCTCCTTCGTCCGTCGCATTTCCAAAACTTTCCGGTGACTGTTGGAGTGAATATCGCCGGAGAACGTCGGACTACAAGCCGGTCTATACTCAGGAAAAAGCCGACCGGATTTGAACCGAACACCACAAGCGTTACAAAGAGTTTTTGCACCCAATGGACCGGTTCGCCACTGTGGGGTCTTCTGAACATGGCAGTGGGTACACCGCCGTTGTGGCTGGGACCCACTTGATCCTGAGCCGCTCTCCGTAGCCGGGTTTCTCTTTTGCTTCTTCGCCGGCGGTTTACCATAACTAGAGAATGGGTACAGAGTATGAACCGGGCTAGTGATTATAAACGATGACGAGTTAGACCCATATGAAGAAGAAGACGTTGTAGACGAGTCAGTGAGCGATGGAGACCCAAGAGACCAGACTCTTCCACTAGGCCTAGACCGTTTGCTTCTCGCTTTGCCTTGAACCGGTGTCGGGAAACAAGGAACCGGAACCTCCGGTTCCGACCGGTTTTCAAAACATTTTCCGGTTCTCTCTTCCAAGGAGCCGGCGGGGCACAACAAAGAGACCTCCGACGCCGAATCGTCCACAAATTGGGATAACCATTCAAGGTTCTCCATATCATCAACCTATTAAAATGGTTTTCAAATTTTCAATATGCATTAAAATTCATAAATAAAACCATCGAAATTACAAAAAAAAAAGAGAATTTTTTGGGCCATGAATGAGTACCGGAACGGAAAAGTCGCCGGCGGTTAAGGACCCAAATTCGCCGGTGCCGGAAAAAGTGGTGGAATTTGAGGTATCTTCTTCGTGGACTCTGTCTTGAGAAGAAACAGAAAGAGAGTCTTTTTCTCCAACAGACCCATCTTTAAAATCTTTATCGGAAAAGTCCAGAAGATCATCGACGGAAAAATCATCACAAGAGACGTTGTTAATTCCGGTGACACACCACAAATCTTCAATAAAAACTTGTTGAGTCGATTTCATGGCTATTTCTGGTACAAAACTCGACTTCAATGCTCTTGCCTCATAGCAGTACTCCATTTTCTACACTGTAATTCAACCTCCTGAATTTTCAAAATTACAAAACAACGTTACAAAAAAGCCTCCATGAGAGAATTATAAAATTATTAATTATGTTAATTGTGTATAAATACCTGAAGGTTTGAAGAGAAAAGCTTGAAGGGGTTGAAGAAGATGGAGAAGACAAGGTGGGAAANGTAGGTGGTGTTTGTAGTTGTGATAATAGTAACCATAATGGTGATGGTGGTAAATATGATGAATTGATAGTGGTGTTAGAGCAACTTCAAGGGGGTGGCAACCCTAAATTCAAAATTTTAGGCTCCAAAGAAAGGGCTATATGAGGTTGGAAAATAGTATTAAGGTTCTTGGGGTGGTATTTTTGGCAATTCTGGAGAGAGAAAGGGAGAAGTTGCAAATGGGTTGATGAATATAGATCCNCAACGTGGCTCCGATGACCCGGTCCACAAACCTTAATCTAAAAGGCTAAACCTCAACAAATGGGAACCAGTGAAGCAAAACCGGGTTCGATAATTTCAGCCGTCTCCTTCGTCCGTCGCATTTCCAAAACTTTCCGGTGACTGTTGGAGTGAATATCGCCGGAGAACGTCGGACTACAAGCCGGTCTATACTCAGGAAAAAGCCGACCGGATTTGAACCGAACACCACAAGCGTTACAAAGAGTTTTTGCACCCAATGGACCGGTTCGCCACTGTGGGGTCTTCTGAACATGGCAGTGGGTACACCGCCGTTGTGGCTGGGACCCACTTGATCCTGAGCCGCTCTCCGTAGCCGGGTTTCTCTTTTGCTTCTTCGCCGGTGGTTTACCATAACTAGAGAATGGGTACAGAGTATGAACCGGGCTAGTGATTATAAACGATGACGAGTTAGACCCATATGAAGAAGAAGACGTTGTAGACGAGTCAGTGAGCGATGGAGACCCAAGAGACCAGACTCTTCCACTAGGCCTAGACCGTTTGCTTCTCGCTTTGCCTTGAACCGGTGTCGGGAAACAAGGAACCGGAACCTCCGGTTCCGACCGGTTTTCAAAACATTTTCCGGTTCTCTCTTCCAAGGAGCCGGCGGGGCACAACAAAGAGACCTCCGACGCCGAATCGTCCACAAATTGGGATAACCATTCAAGGTTCTCCATATCATCAACCTATTAAAATGGTTTTCAAATTTTCAATATGCATTAAAATTCATAAATAAAACCATCGAAATTACAAAAAAAAAAGAGAATTTTTTGGGCCATGAATGAGTACCGGAACGGAAAAGTCGCCGGCGGTTAAGGACCCAAATTCGCCGGTGCCGGAAAAAGTGGTGGAATTTGAGGTATCTTCTTCGTGGACTCTGTCTTGAGAAGAAACAGAAAGAGAGTCTTTTTCTCCAACAGACCCATCTTTAAAATCTTTATCGGAAAAGTCCAGAAGATCATCGACGGAAAAATCATCACAAGAGACGTTGTTAATTCCGGTGACACACCACAAATCTTCAATAAAAACTTGTTGAGTCGATTTCATGGCTATTTCTGGTACAAAACTCGACTTCAATGCTCTTGCCTCATAGCAGTACTCCATTTTCTACACTGTAATTCAACCTCCTGAATTTTCAAAATTACAAAACAACGTTACAAAAAAGCCTCCATGAGAGAATTATAAAATTATTAATTATGTTAATTGTGTATAAATACCTGAAGGTTTGAAGAGAAAAGCTTGAAGGGGTTGAAGAAGATGGAGAAGACAAGGTGGGAAAAGAGTTGGGTAAAGCACTGAAATGAGGGCTGGTTCGTGGGCGAAACTGGTGGTGGGTTAATGGTTTTTGTTTTTTCTTCTGTTATCTACTTTCTCTCTCTTCTATTTATTTTGCAGTGTCTCTGGGTTAATGTATAACAATGGGCAGTTATGTATGTGATATTTGCTAAGGAAACTGAATGACTATTCTCAGGTCAATGAGAGGTTGGCTAGTTCAGACCGAATCCACAGTCGTATGAAGATTTTCTATTTTTGACTGACGAGGTTTTGGTTAATTCCAACAGGCAATAAGGTCTAAACGACAAAATGATTCTAGAATGACAGCCACAAAATGACTGAGTTGGTCACAGTTGTCTTTTATTGTGTGGTTTGCTTCCAAGGAAAGTGGCGCGTTTGGTTTTTGAATTCAAAATCGAAAGGTGGAATCTCCTTTCAATTTTGAATCACTCAAGTAAAATTAGTCTTAATAATTCTAGGCATGATTTACTAACTCAATTAGAGGTGTTCAAATTTTTGATTAATCGTATTTTTTTATCTTAACCTTATTAAACGGTTAGCCGTAAAAATTGGGTAGGAATACGGAAGAATATTTGGTCTTCCGATTAAATAGGGTAAGAATACGAAATACTTATCAATTTTCGCTTTCCTATCCTACTCTACCCGCAAAAAATATATTTAATTTTTTTATATATTTTTTAATAATTATAAGAGTATTTTTATGGTATAATTTATATTATAACATTATCATGTAGATGTTTGAGTTACTAAACATGGACTTATTTTTTGTGTAAGTTACATGATTTGTGGTGAACTAGAGATCTATTGAAGCAATTATGATTTTAATATGTTTTATATAGTTTAAATTTAAAATAATTATTATTGTATTTGAATAACAATTATGATGGATTGATATTCATGTTTTATTATGTTTTATTATAATTGTTGTTGTAGTTATTTTAAATTTTAATGTTATTAATTTATTGTGTTATTCAATTAGTGCATGTTGTTTAAATGAATTGTTAAAATGATTCAAAAATTAATAGCTACAAAAGTGTTACCCGATTAATCGGGTAGAAATACTACACCTGATCGGGTAGGGTAGAGTAAGAAAAAATTCTTTCTCAAAATATCAGGTAAGAAGGCGGGAGACTATATTTTTTACCCGTAGGGTAGATTGAACACCCCTAAACCCAATTTTCAATCAATAAATTTACCTTTACCGTTAAACGGATACAATTATTATACTTGTCAAGTAAGCTAAATAATACAAACCCAATTTAAAATGACAAGAATCAATTAAATGCTTTTTTTTTCTTTTTTTTTTAATTTTTTCTTTTTTTTGAGATGGAATGGGGACTTGAACCCTTGATNATACAAACCCAATTTAAAATGACAAGAATCAATTAAATGCTTTTTTTTTCTTTTTTTTTTAATTTTTTCTTTTTTTTGAGATGGAATGGGGACTTGAACCCTTGATTTCAAGACGCCAAAGTCTTCACAAGACAAAAAGTATCATCGGACCCATTGGTATTAAATGCTTATTGTAAAAGTAATTGAAGGCATATTTGCTAAGTTTTTTCCACGTTTTGCCTATCAATAATTTGAAAACTTGTTGCACAAAAAAGATACATTTTTTTTAGTATTTTTAAGATTTTACTTTTGCATTAATAGAGATAAAATGAGGATTACCTTTAACACAAAATAAATCAAGTATATGATTTGAACAAATTTTTGGCACGATGTAACTTATATGATTTAAAATCAAAATAAAATATGATCTATTAACTACTATAATTCAAATCGACCAAAAGAAAGAACTCATACAGTGGTTGTGGAAATATATAGCAGTGGCAATAGTGCTGGGGTGATTGTTGATTGGGCGATGGTGGTGGAAGTGAGAGGTGTGGCAGGAGATAGGGGTTTGTGTTGGTGGCATTTCTAACAATTAGTGACATGAATGAAAATGATAGGTGGTGCAAATGTGTCGGAGTGATGATGGTAGGGGTGAAGGTAGGTGGTGTTTGTAGTTGTGATAATAGTAACCATAATGGTGATGGTGGTAAATATGATGAATTGATAGTGGTGTTAGAGCAACTTCAAGGGGGTGGCAACCCTAAATTCAAAATTTTAGGCTCCAAAGAAAGGGCTATATGAGGTTGGAAAATAGTATTAAGGTTCTTGAGGTGGTATTTTTGGTAATTCTGGAGAGAGAAAGGGAGAAGTTGCAAATGGGTTGATGAATATAGATTCATTAGATGAATATTGATCAAACGATTATATAAATTGATGAATAAAAATATAAAAATGACACCTGTCATTGAAACAGATTTATAATTTAGAAGTGCTAAGACACTGTTCAAGATTGTAAATGAATAATTTAGCACTCTAAAATATCAACTGCCTTTTGAGTTGCTCTTGGCATCAGTGATTGTCATGTACGGTAGCTCTAAGGGAAACCTTGGTCCAGTTGCATTTGGAGGACTGCTAAGTAATGATCAAAGAATGTGGCAGCTTGGTTTTTACGAGAAGCTAAAGGAGTCCAAGCTAAAGGCCTTCAAGCTAAACTGTGGACAATTTATCAAAGCCTCAAGATTATACAAACTCAAAATCTAAAGATGGTGATCATAGAAACAGACTTCTTAGATGCCCTCAACCTGATCACTGCTAGGTTGGAGGAATTCTACCCTGANAGGTGGCAGCTTGGCTTTTACGAGAAGCTAAAGGAGTCCAAGCTAAAGGCCTTCAAGCTAAACTGTGGACAAAATGATAGGTTGGAGGACTTCTTAGATGCCCTCAACCTGATCACTGCTAGGTTGGAGGAATTCTACCCTGATAGGAATATCATTACAAATTACAAGTATATAATGGAATTGATTAACACTCTCATTATTCACAAACTGAGGAAAAGAAATTTCTACACTGATAAAATGATAAGCTTGAGAGGGCTGCAACATGATTCTTTTGCTTTTTTTGATGTCCCATCGCCTCTGTTGGGATAATTTTTTTTGAANGCATATAATGGAATTGATTAACACTCTCATTATTCACAAACTGAGGAAAAGAAATTTCTACACTGATAAAATGATAAGCTTGGGAGGGCTGCAACAGGATTCTTTTGCTTTTTTTGATGTCCCATCGCCTCTGTTGGGATAATTTTTTTTGAACGATTTGTCATGTATTTTTTTTACTACATAGTTTAAATAATCCTGTTATCTTTTCTTATATACCAAAAAAAAAACAAAATTTTATCTCAGATTTAAAATGTATCGTTGATTACGAATGAAACATAACAAAATTTTTATTTAACAAAATGACGTTATAATCAACGATTCATCTGCTGCTAATTTTCTAAGTTCTAACAGCACAAGATCCTCATCTATGAATGTAACNAAACATAACAAAATTTTTATTTAACAAAATGACGTTATAATCAACGATTCATCTGCTGCTAATTTTCTAAGTTCTAACAGCAAAAGATCCTCATCTATGAATGTAACATCTCAATAAATAAAGACTTTGAATATTACATGGGACAATATTTTTTCCCATCCCCAAAAAAAGGCAAGAAAACAAGGTCTACAATTTAACAGTCAGCAGAATGGATTAACACTTACGTTTCCTGAAACCCGTGACCACCGCTACTTCATTATTTACCGCAAAGATTATTCAAAAATTGGAATTGGTAATTATATTTTGTACCCTAAATTAAAGGATTTTTATTGTATATTTTTAAAAAATAATTTTTTTTTATTATACTCTAAATGTTTTAAAAATATTATAATATAAATTTTTTGTTTGCTTATTTTGTCAAAAATCATCTAATTAACATTGATAAAATGAGCAATGAAAGGTAATTGAAGTGATATATTGTAACACTTTTAATACATTAAAGTTACCATACAAAAAATTTATTATTTAAGAGTATANGGTAATTGAAGTGATATATTGTAACACTTTTAATACATTAAAGTTACCATACAAAAAATTTATTATTTAAGAGTATATAATAATAATTTTTAAATTTTATTAGGTACAAAATGTAATTTGCCAAAACGGAAACGGAATGGGGTTACAGCAAGGAAAGCCGCCAAAATCTCGTGATTTTCTTTCCTTTCAGTCTTACAGAAGACTGCCCTCAGCTTTTGACTTATTTACAAAAATAGACAACTTCGACGCGTTAATTGCGCCGCCCCTTTGTATTCCGCCTGTCCTAATCATGTGATTGACACGTGGGCCTTCCTGGGATGATTCCTTCACGAGGTGTACTAGCGCGTGAGAACGGCTCACAATAGTTCCTTTCTGGTGGGTTATATAGGTGGAAAGTTTAAGTGGTCCACGTCGTGAAATAATAAGCGTTAATTGCACTATGGATTGATTCATATAGCTGGCACATGATGTTCAAGAGAGACGCGTTTTGGACCAGTATTTTTTTTAAAAAAAATTATTTTAATTTATTTATATACTAGTTATTGTGTAATAAAAAATAGTANGTTATATAGGTGGAAAGTTTAAGTGGTCCACGACGTGAAATAATAAGCGTTAAGTGCACTATGGATTGATTCATATAGCTGGCACATGATGTTCAAGAGAGACGCGTTTTGGACCAGTATTTTTTTAAAAAAAAATTATTTTAATTTATTTATATACTAGTTATTGTGTAATAAAAAATAGTAAACAATAAACATATTTGAATTCATATTCAAAATTAAATCACAAACATAGAAGAGAGATAAATAAATTTTAACATCGATTATAGTGGGAGTGAGAGATGGTGGGCGGCGATGACAGTGGTAAGAGACGATAATGGCTGTGGTGGTTGACAATGACCGTGGTGACAGACAATGGTAGTGGCGGTGGTTATAGTGGTAGCGACGGCGACAATGGTGGTGGCAGCGACAGTGGTAGTAGTGGCGACAGTGGTGGTAGAGGTAGTGGTGAGATGATTTGAAACACTATTTGTTTTAAAAAAAATATTTACGAGAAATAATTGCTAAAAATACTTTTAAAAAATTACTCCAAACACACCTTTAGAGACTTATTTTTTCTATTAAATTTGGAGTATTAATATTAGTCGTTAAATTAACTTTAAAGTAAAATTTAAAGCGATTTCAACTGCGAATAGAAAAAATCATTTTGTTTATTTTTTAAGATTTGAAATGTAAGCTACTTTATTACATAGATAAGTATCATAATTGTATTTTATTTATCCAACTATCGTTAAAATAAGTGATTAAGTGTGAATAAAAAAAAATTGTTTTCGTGTCTATGTGGGTGGTGGGCTAGAAGCCCCTTCTTTGGGCCGTTAGGCCCTGTGGTCCTGGTAATTACACCGGAGAGGTGGGAAATTGGGTTATCTCATATCAGGTAATTTCGAGTGTGTGAATGTATCTATAAATCTTTATTTGACCCTTACTTTATTAGAATAAGTGGTTAGGTATGAATCAAAAAAATCATTGTTGTTTTTCGAAGACAATATATAGTAAAATAGAAGTTTTGATCAACAATTTTTGAAGTTGGGGTCGTAATTGAAACCTAAGTTTGATAATGCCATTTAAAATTGCATGTTTAAATTGTTAAATTCTAAGTTAGTTAATTACCAACAAATGATCCAATGTATTTGTGGTTAATATATGGTTTTATGTGGGTCCCATAAAAATGGCGATTAAGTGATTGGGCTGCACCGGACCTCTTTTCTTGACCATCGACGTCGTGCACATTGTTTAGTTGCCACTGGCGTGAAAGCAAAGCTTTGCCAAAAAAAAAAAAAGGGATTCACTAACTCGAAGGCATTTCAAGTTGGAACAGAAATAAGTTTTAAAATGTCATAAGTTAAAATTTTGGTAATTTTTTGAGATTAAATTAAGAGAAATTTATTTTCATGAATATTATAGTTCTAACGTGAATTGTTTGTCTTTTGTCAAATCGAAGAGAGAATTAATTTAAGTGTGCGTAAATTAATTCAAATACTTCTGACAATAAAATTAAAAACAAAAAAGTTGACGAAATTCGAGTAACCTAGAGACAAAATTATAAATTTAGACGTGATAATTCTTTTAGATCAAATTATGAAAGATTTATCTCTTATAAATTTTTTAGTATCGACATAAATTATTTGTCTTTGATTGAATCAACGAAAGAATTAGTTCAAATATACATAAATTGATTTAAATAACCTCGACCACAATACTAAAATATTAAAAAAATACCAAAAAAAAAAAAGGGTTGACGGAAAATTAGTCAAAAATAAAACCAACTAAATACCTTGCCAAATCGACACATGGCTAGAGAAGTGATAAAGGACGGCTACATGCCGGTCACGTGATTTGACGAGAAATAGTAGTCTTTGGCTGCTGATAATATTTTTTTGGCCAAACGACACTGCTTGTTTCGGTGCGCTCACATACATGGCATGTCATGGTTACGCGAATCACGCCGGCCTCCACAGCCTATTCCTAGGAGTAAAAAATGTATTTTTAACCGTTGTTTATTTCCATGTTTGCCTTTGCCTTTGCCCGCATGGTAAGGGGGCAAGGGCGCGATCATTCTTTTGAATTGGAGAAAATGTATTTTTACACTAGTATCAGTTATGAATATCTTAGATTATATAAGTTTTTTTTAAAGAGATTGTCGTTTGTATATACTTTGGTTACCCCATCTAAATTTCTCAATTCATTTTCTCAAACAAGTATGAGTCCTTCAAAGTGTTTTCTTTATTAGAGGCTTTTAATGATGCAATTCAATTTATATTTTAGTTCAACGGTTAGGGGTATCTGAATCAGTTTATGCACACCTTGATTAAATCTCTTCTCAGTCTAGTCAAAGATAAGTCATCCACGCTAAAACTGAGGTATTTACGAGAGATAAATCTCTTATAATCGCTACCAAAAAAATTATCAAAATTCAAATTTAAGACGTCTAAGTTTACAACTGGTTCCTGTTATTACTTAAAGTTTGAGAGAATTCAATTTTCACTTGCTTGTGAGAATTTATATATTGAGATTGAATTCTGATAAATTAAGTGACAGATTTAAACCAAATATCCAACTAACTTCATTTGACCTATTACAAGGGGCTAAATAAACCAATCAAAATGAACCTCCACTTGTAAGCAATTTGATTATAAATTGACCAAGCACTTCACTTCAATTAATTTTATAGACTTTTCCAGAAAAAGTCGTTGAACGAACCCAGCGGCCAATATTTGAACTGATGTAAGCATCATTTTATTTATCTAGCAAGGAATCCAATGGTAACACAAGTGCTGGAATTGTTAGAATCATTCCATTTTACTGAAATGATTTCATTTTGAAAGAAGTTAAAGCTCTCGTAACATGGACAAGTTAAAAATTTAAATATCTTAAATTTAAATTTTGATAATTCTTTAAAGTCAGACTATAAAAGATTTATCTTTCATAAATATCTTATTTCCGACATGGATGACCTACTTTTGATAAACAAAAAATTAATCGAGGTGTGTATAAATCGGCGCAAACAACCCCGACGTTGAACAAAAAAAAAACCCAATTTCTTCCGTTATCAAAACAGTATTTTGTCAACTTAAGTGGACATGTTCAAAGTGGAGTTCATTCGACTACTCAACTAAATTTTAATAACCTTGCAAGTTGCAATTGATTTAGACACCGATGATCAAAATTATTTTTCTTTATTTTCACCGAAATGACTGAAATATTTTCGTGTTTGTGAAAATTGAAACATATCAAGTAATTAAAAAATGTCAAAAGTCTTATGCCTCGGAATGTTGTAGCATGTTTCAAAATCAAAATTTCTCTCTTCCCTTCCTCTGTAGCACACTATTTTGTTTATGGTTCCTTGAGACTGCAAATTGTTTCCCTGTTGCTGCTGGATATTGTTAATATAATATATATACAAAATTGGTCGTAATTTTATTAATGCGGAATATATAAAAAAAGAAGCGGTATTAATGCAGGTGCCTGCTCCTGCCACACCTTTTACTCTTTCAGCAAGACTAGCTTGTCAAGCTAAACTAAATGATACACTCTATTAAGAGTATATCTAATTACATAAATGAAAGGGGGGAGTAATCGAGTAATCGAGATGTTTAGACATTTATGAAAGGCTTTCCAAATGAAAATGGCATATTGGAAAGTAACTTTGAACAAACAATAGAGTTACAAAGTGCTACTGTTTTAAGCAGAATGTGAAGGTGCAACTGGGCTTGTAATTTTTTTTTTTTTAAAGGGTTAGAGATGTCTGGATCAATTTATGTGCACTTCAACTAATCTCCTCACCAGTCCAGTGAAAAAGCAGATTATGCACATCGGGACTATGATATTCATAAAAGATAACTACCTCATAACAAGGAAAATCAATGAAACCGACTCGGAACAGGGTGATATATGAAATACTTGTCGGGTGTAGTTGTTTTGCCTAATCATCATTGGCATCCATTACTTATCCTCTAAGTAGTACGGATACGGATACGTGACACAGATACAATATGATACAGATACGACGATACGAAAAAACTTAAAAAAATAAGATACGGGTACGACCAGGATACATCTATAATAAAATATATTTTATATTTTATTATTATTTAACGACTTAGAAATTACAATTTTTTAATAATTTTTTAACATTAGTAAGTAAAATTATGAATTTTTACCATGAAAATGATGTAATTTTGTCTCATTATGATATGTTCATAAAATGAACATGACCAATTGAAGGAATCATAACCACATTTAACTAGTTGGTTTTACAAGTATTTATTTTTAAAAGTATAGTGTAAGTGACTCATTTTTTTTTATACTATTTTAACATTTAATAATATATAATACTTAAAAAACACTCGTGTCTTTAAAATCAAATGGAATTTTGTTGATATTTTATTTTGTATGTGAACTCCAAAGAACAGGTATAGCTTAAAATTGAAAATTGTACATCTTACTTCATGTTTAGAAGGATCCGCGAAATATCCACATATTTTATTAATTATCAAATGCGGATGATGCGTATCGGATATGGATGATGCATATTTGATATGTATTATCGAGTATCCGACAAGTATCGTATCTGATACGGGTACGTCGACCTTGACGAAGTATCCGTGCTTCATAGCTTATCCTTCTTTCTGCAAAGTTATTAATCCTAATATCATAATTTGTAGCTATTTCACTATTTTTATTGTTGAAGTATAAATACTTAAGTTACACCCTTTCTAACAGTTTAAACTTTTGAAGTAAAAGTTGTTTAACATGGTATCAGAGCAAGAGGCCCTATATTTGAATCTCGCTACTATCCTAATTACTAAAAACACTTTCACGCGCTAGGTTCAAAATCTAACTTGCACATGAGGGAGCGTATTGAAGTATAAATATTTAAGTTACACACTCTCTAACAGCTTAAACCTTTAGAGTAGATGGTTATTTAACATGTATTTTATAGAGTATCTACTGAAGAACACATGGAATCTTATGAAAATAAACAGACACCTTAGATATCTAGAAAAGAATAAAAATGATACACTCTAGAATCATGTTTGAGCATAAAAATCCTCCATGACCTGTCGAACTATCAGTGGAATCCTCACCACATGAAATCCATCTTCCCAAAACAGATTTCCAAATGAATATGTGCCATGTACTCTTAGCAGAGAGCAAAATGTTACCTTGAACCTTAGCTTCTTCACAGTACCATTGAAAAACAAAATTGAGGGCTCCACTTTCACACTTGTCCCAGGTGGAGCTTGAATTCGAGCAGCGTAGACAGATATTGCTGGACCTACATTTGTCACTGTTCTTGATACGGTCATGCTCGTCTTCAACTCAGGAATAGAGATAGATGGAAGATTAAAGTTTGCTAGGAAGTTGGTTTTTTTACGGCATGGAGTATGAGCCCCCGTCAGCCAGCCAATTGCAGTGTCATTGTAGTCCATGGAACAAAGGAAGAGCGAGTAATCTTTGATGTTCATGTCGTAAATGAGACCAGGGTCTATGGCTTTGTTAGGATCTACATGACCACCACCATAATCAAATGGGTCAGCCATCTTGTGTGGAGCTCCCTCAGCAGTAGCACATTGATCATATTCATACTTTACAGAGGCTTGGTGCAGGAGTGAAAACGAAAGAATGAAAGAGTCAGAGGCTTTAAATGCACCGGGAAGCATTCACTCCCCATATGTTCAACTACTGAGTGTTGGAATAATTAAACGGGGCAATCTAGTACATATAACTTACCTGTGGTAACCAGGGCAGACTTGATTGCAGCAGGGCTCCATCCGGGATGGATGGCTTTGAGCAGAGCAACAATACCAGATATATGGGGACAAGCCATGGAGGTTCCAGATTCAATTTTGAAGTTAAGTGGAAGTAGTTGATTTGGACTGACATCAGGCGGTAAGGCAGAAGAATAAGGGGACCAAGAGGCCAAGATATTAACCCCAGGAGCAGCAATGTCAGGCTGCACAGCATTTTTAATTGCAGTTAATTGGAATAGCCACGAAAAACAAAAAATGTTGGCAAATGATCAGTACAGCTGCAGCAACACCTTCAATACCGTGGGAGATAGAGAACTTGGTCCTCGAGATGAGAAGAATGCCACTTCTGGAGAAATTTGATGCCCTACGGCCGTTTTTGTGATGCTAAACTTCACAAGAGGATTACTGCAGCATAAAAAATCTGTTACCTACAAAGAAATTACGGAGTCCATAATCATTTGGTTATGTGGTATGGGCATACACCCGCCCATAGGTGATTGCAGGTTCAAATCTCATCTCCTCCCCCCCACCCCCCATAAGAAAGACAATGTCCACGTTCCATACCTGGAGAACCATCCTGAGGCAAAGATCTTAAATGTACATTTCGAATACCAATATGTATTATGCTTGAGTAGTAGTATATAGCATTACATGCATGCTAAATCAGGAGGAATCACCTGGTTGATGCAATGTATGTCAGCAGGTATGTTCCTATTGCAAAGTCCACTTGGACACATGGGAGACCCAAGGACAAAGAAACATCCTTAGTCGGAAGCTGAGCAAAGATGAGTCCTCTAGCCTGAACTGGCAGTATATTTCCTGCAGCAGTGGCTGCAGATCTTAGTGAATGAGATTGAAAACAAAGAATGACCTTTCCTTTCGCTAGAGTGGCATTCAGAGATTCCGCATCACAATTTCTGCAAGTCACACAAATATGGAGAAAATACATCCTCTGCCACATCATAGACGGATCCTATAGATTTAATGTTGACAAAAAGTAAAGGGAAGTTATTTCACCTTGCATCATCTTCGTACGCATCAGCGGATGCAATGTCTTCTCCATACACTATAGGGTAGAAATTGTTATCCTCTCCAGTATAAAAAGCTTGACCCTGAGCAAGAGAAGAAACATCACATTATAAACAGGAAATAGCTGCGATAAACAAGAATGAAGTAACTCAAAATTAAGTTTAAAATATAACAAAGATATCTAATGTAATACACCGTAATTATTACAGATACATAGTCAAGTGACCTAAATTCTATTCATTGATTTAATTTCAATTTTTATGGAATTACCAGCCACAGTATCCTCTGAGAGGGTTGAGTTCTTACATATTCTCCTTGAACCACATTAATTTTATTTTGTTTAAACCACATTAATGTGTCTCCACTAGTTATAAAATTAATTAGTGATATATGGTCCCACAAACGTGCAAAATCAACAGGTATTGGCACGCACAAGTGTCTATGAACGAAAGAAAAACTAGTACCACGACAGTTTGATTGTTCCCCAGAGTAATCATGGTAGGGAAAGCTCTGTCAATTGTGCTTGCTGCCACAGTTATTATCCAAGGAGCAGTATTTATAACTGTTTGAGGATAAGGACCTGAATTCCCACCAGAGCAGACTACAGGAATTCCTTTGGCCACAGCATGGAAGGAACCAATGGATAACACGTCCTCGACATAAGTAGCAAGTGGTGGGGATGAACCTAGAGACACCGAAAGCACATCCACGCCATCAGATATTGCTTCATCAAATGCAGCAAGAATATCCGCCGAGCTACAGCCACCTGTGGCCCAACAGACTTTGTATACAGCTAACCAAGCAGATGGAGCACCGCCTCTGGCCAATCCTTGAGCTAGACCCATAAAGTTTGCATTCTCTACTAAAACTCCAGCTGCTGTTGATGAGGTGTGACTACCATGGCCTGCTGCATCTCGGGCAGACAAGAATTCAGCCCCATCACTGGTATTCAGCTTTCCAAATTCTGCCTTGTATCCTTTCATATACCAACGTGCCCCAATAATTTTCCTGCCCATGTATCCTGGCATTTAGTGTTACATTTAAGTTCAGCCATTGTCAACATTAGGCCAACTATATTTCAAAAAGAGGAAAAGAAGACGAAGAGGAAAACTCAACATTTTCTAACGCAGGTTGAAAAACCTACTTTCAAACTACCAGCTATTTGGCTCAACAGTCTTCACATTATTTCATCCTAACATGTTTACAACAGCGCATGGTTCTCATCATAACATGCTATACAACAGCGTGTTTAATATTGTTGAAGTTTATATTTTTTAAACACAAATTTTGTCATATGATGAAAGCATAACCACAAAAGAGAAAAACTTAGAATTTCTAAGATTTCATGGTCTGCAGAATGAATTTTGAGCACTAACCATCAATTCATGAAATTTCGAACCACTATATCACATTGAAGGGTACCAATACTGCCTTCCAGATTCGTTTTTTCAAGTTATTGGAGACCTATTAATGTGAAGTACAGCATATTCGTCTACAAGTCAGCTATACTTAAATTGGGAATAAAGTATGATGATCGTGATGATAATGATGCTCAAAAGAAAGAAAAAGAACAGTGAAATTACACGGATTTCTATCAAAGAAGAGAAATTGCAATACTCCATTTGAATCACTGAGTTTAAACGAAAAGGCAAACACCAAAAACAGGAACAATGTACGACCCTGTTTAGGGTTATGTTCAGACTACATTGGACTATTCATTCCAGCTACACTGCATTTCTCAACAAGGATAAGTCCTACTTCAGAAAGGATTTACTCCAAAAAGTATATATTATGCGCTTTTGGCCATATACTAAACAGGGAATTTATAAAATGCACTTTCATGATTCTTCCAAATTGCATGATCAGTACCAACAGAATTTCTAGAGTCTAGATACAAAAATTCAGGTTACCCGTATGTGTTTTCTGGACAACAGTGATAAAATATTAGCAAAAGATACTAAATGACATAGGATCACACAAGGCTATCAAATTATGAATTAATTTAACCTATTACAACTGGAACTATTGAATGCTTCTCCTTCCTGGCATATTCCCTTCCAACGAGAAGGAACCTTTTCCATTTGCTCGTCTTTAAAGCTTTCAGATTCAGGCCATATTCCTGTGAAAAACAAAAATTGGCAACAAATCAAGCCATATGTACAAATATCCCCACGCATATCAACTACAAAGTAAGTGAACACCTACCAGTATCTAAGACACCAATGATAGCCCCAAAACCTGATTTACCCTTTGAGAGAATTCCATTCACCAGATTAGGCTTTACTTGTAGGAAATCCCAACTTCTAGTAGTGTGAAGATTAAGAATTCTATTAGGAACTACATGAACTACCCCAGGGAAATCTGCATCATCATGTCAAAGAACACAGTCGTTAAGGGGCCTTAGACACATTAACTAGATACAGTTCACAGAGGACTAACATCAAGCACCTGCTATGATTTCAGCTTGAGATGGAGTTAAAACCGCAGCAAACCCCGAAAATCCGTGCTTGTAGCTGTACAGAATTGATTCCATGGCAGCTTCTTTGCTATCAACCAAAAACCCCATGTTATTACTTTCTTTTGGGGCTATAAAATGGTAAAATAATCCAAACTTGCCTTAATCTTACATGGTTATGATCTGAATCAGAATAAATTACTCTGTTTCACTATTGAATAAATGCAATCATAAAAAGAAAAAAATTACAACTTCAGATTTTGGGCTGTTTTGGGTGTGCAAGAAAATGCAAATGTCTTCCAATAAATCGCCCGATTAGTACAACTGGGATTTCCATTTAATTCAAAACCTTAAAAGAAAAAAAAAAAAATCCGAAGTCTAACTAGACCAATTTTGTACATATGACAAACAAGTATATCTATATACGTATATATGTATGCGTGTGTGTGTATGTTTGATGATAGATTGGATTGAGAGATAAAACCTTCCAAGAATATATGAAAGAATCTCATGGTGGGAGTCCTCAACAAGCTCGGGATCCTCATGGCGTCTATGACCCATATACACAATATGAACCTGTAAATAGCCCAAAATACAAAACCAAAAACGAAGAAAGTAGATAAACAGATTGGGGAAGCCAATGTTTGGGTATCATAGTAGTTTTCTCCTTTTTGTAATAACTTTCGATGCCCATATCAAAAATAGCATAAGAAATAAAGCTCTTTTATGTCAAGAAACAGAAAGAAACTTACCTTGCTTGAAACAATGGCGAGGACAAAACAACATTCTTGAAAAATGGAAATAAGAAAAACAAGGCCATAAACCCATGAGGAAGACATGAGAGAGTGAGACCTGAAAACAAGAACACACAGCACAAGCATAGATATAACACTAGAAGGAGAGAGTACACAGTACAGTCCTGAACTACTGATAGTGTGTAATGGGGTCCACCCTGAGCACCTGCTCCTACTAGTGTTATTGCTATTGGTGAACAGGGTACGCCATAGATTTAGCACCAGGCGCGCGAGCGCGAGAGCGAGAGAGGGAGAAGGGAAAAAAGTAACAGCACTTCGAAGTGTGATTTGGTTGTTGTGTTGGTGTTTTTGGTGAAAAAAATCTGAATCGTTGACTAGAATTTCCAAACTTGGGACAACGGATAGTGAGGCCACTTCCTTCTCATATTGTGTCTCACTGCTCAACAACGCGAATTCGCCGTGTGATTTACGTGTTATTATTTTCGAATCATTTTATTATAATTTACATCGTATTTATATAAATGTCTATGATATAAAATTTTATTTAATGTATTATAATTACTAAATATTAATTCAATTCATTTATTATATATATTTATCAATTATTTCAAATTCATATTGTATTTGTGTTAGATGAATCAAATTGATATTCCAAACCCGAGTCACAATACTTACTTAGCAACACTATTATCCTGAAATAGCCTAATTTTCTTTCTTATCTGTATGTCTCGCATGCACGATGAACAATTTCTTAACCGTTTCTCTTCATAATTAACATTTTACTCAAAATACATAATAAACACATCAATTATAGATATATTATGTGTGTTACAGAGTTTAGTATAAATAAAATCTTGATAACTCGTTTTTACCTGCTGAAATAATTCATCCAATGTATGCATAAGGCAAGAGAATATGAGTAGATGGGTGCTCCAATAGACTAGTTATTGACTAATCATTCTGTCGTTTATTGGATAGCTTTACACCTAATGATGACTCATGCTTGTAATGATCTAAAATTATGAACTAAAATAAGCCAAACTTTTGAAAAAAAGGGAATTTCATATCTTAATAGTTCCAACAAACACAAAAGTCATTGTTTCTTGCTTTCGTGTCCAAACCTACATTTGCTTGGTAAGTTTTTATATGTTCTCGATAAAAGCGAAAGATTTCTTGCTTAAGTACTTACTTGTCTTACTTCTTAAAACACTTTATGCTACACGTCAATCCATTATGTTATGAGGCAACAAAAATGTCATGCATCACCTTAATTAACCTAACTCCAAGGCTACATTGGAGTCCTATGGAATCTCTATCGTTGATGTACTAAAAGTTGGAGTTCATTGCTGATCATCGGCAAGATTCGATTGGGTGGACCTTTTCATCAGAACTCGTTACACGTGTTATTGATGTTTCTATTATCATTTACGCAATCTATGCGTTTTTTTGTGTCATTGTTGAGTTTTTATGGACTAAAATTTGTAACAACACAAAACTCAATACAGTCATATAATTTCGGATAATATAAATGACGTTTCATATAATTATCGAAAGCATCGACAGAAAATCTTGGCCATGACTCCACAATAGCCCATTAGTGGGGGAAGTCTACATAAATTCCCCCATTATTTCACCCAATTGCATGAGATTTTCCACTGTTCTTTGTGGGTTTAATAGGGCTCCAAATACATTATATATGGTGCCTCATGAGTGCATTCAAGAATGGTGCTCCTTTTAATGCACTCATGAGCATATGACCATTGAGAACTTAGAAATGACTTAGTGTTCATCCAAATGAATTATGGAATCATCAACAAACACACCACTTCCTGCTTAATGAACACTATGAGTTTGTGGCATTTCATATGATAAGGACATGAAATTACCAAAAGCCAACCAGTCGACTGAATCAATGAAGTTTAGGCTTACTAAACAACCTTGACAAGGTTTAAAATCATGGTATCATCCATCTAATTATACTGTACTAAAATACATCCATCACAATGGTATGAAATGATATTGGATAAAACTCACAAAATATTATATATAAAAAAAAAAATTGAACATAACAAAAGATTCGTGTCGTATGTAACGTCACAAAATAATATCGAACGATTTGATAATGATCACTCGAATGACACAGGGTTGTTTCGGAGGTGCCTCTCATGACTTGATTGAATCACGCAAGACTAGAGGTTTACACTGGTTTGCTATGGGTTCGTTATTAAAATAACATCAACAATCACTTTTAGCTATTTATGAAAAGCATCGAGCTTCGACTAAATCTATAAAACCCAACTTGATTATGAGGTATGCACCCATTGCAAAACTTTTGAATCATGCTTGAATCAATTGTATTTTTCTATTTCTTTTCCAAAAAAACCATATGAAGTGAAGAAACATCATTAAAAAATGGATAAATGAAAATTAATGAGTCCAAATTCAAATTAGGTTTGAGCCTAGTTTATGGGTTGAGCTCAAACCATCAAATGATAGGTCAGACTTATCTCATGACCTCAGTCTAATCTAAAGCTCAAGAGTCCAACAAAAGTTAACGCACATGAAAAAGCAATTATCGGGATAGACGTTACTCCAAAATAGTACTCATCCCCAATTGTAGCTTGTCTCCCTTATAAACTAGTATTTTGACCCTCACGTTACAGCCTCAACTAGACTCTGTGCCTATAAATTATAAGCCCCCTACACATGAGGGTATGATCTCTCACATCTCACCTTGAGCGTATTATTGCTCTCTTTCTCCCCTACTATCTTATACTCTCTCATTAATAGAGTTTTTCGACCACCATTGTTGCCCTCAATGGTTAGGCCACCTAGACACAACCTCTCAATCTTTGTCTCTTATTATTAATTGTTTTACATCACACTCGACTAATTTGATTGTGCATAAACTCGCTTTTGTGCATTAATCTACTTTTGTGTATTATCAGTTTTTGACGCCATTTATGGGAACCAGTTTGATTGTCACCCTATAGTCTTCCTCCTACCCTCAATGGTCATCACAACCAGATCCATGAAACACCAAGCAGAAGATGACTCGCCACGTTACGACGAGGTCCCGCCACCACTGACAAACCTCATCCCTAAATCCCAGCAACTTTTGGAGAGCATGCAAGATGAGCTGAGTCCGCATGGAGAAGCGAATACGAAAAACAGACACGAGAAAATTCTATTTCTTCACTAATTTATGGTTAAAGTTCAAATTCATTGAAAAATAAGTATTTTTTTAGAGAAATCTAGTGCCCAAACCTCCTTTGGCTATTTGACACTGGTAGATCTCGAAAAAATACTTGAATTTAAAAAAAAATTGCTTCAATGTACAACCGAGCTCAACTTTATGGTCGTTCAAAGTTTTGTCATTTCTTCATCATCTTGTAATACTCTAACCAGCACTTGGCGTTGCCTAACGTGGTCCCCTACACTGCGAGTGTCACCCAACCTGCCTTGTCTGCACCCTTTACCTTGCAAACGTCGCCCAGCCTGCCTCATCAAAAATAAGTCCAAGTCTAAGCTGGCCCAATTGACCCTAACCTATGTAGAGGGGATGTTACTACTGCTAAGGAGTTTGGGGACATATGTAGAGCTACGGAGAACTTCCTTAGACAGAAATCTCGGGTCCAATCCATTCCTATTGAAATGGATATAGCATTAGCTTGTTGAAAACCAGAGTCTTTACTTGATCCAGGATATACTGGCCCTTTCGAACCAAATATTTTAAAACCTGGTCAATACGAAAAAGATCTTTGATGGTCATAAAGTAGATCAGGAGGCGCATGCATTGGATTACCATTGCGGAGACAGAAATCATAGCTCCAACAGAAAATCCTAAACATTAATCCCTCAATCAAAAACTTCTCTTTGTTGGTGCATATCTTCTTTATTCGAGAGCATAATGAAGACGTGCCTTAGATCTAACAAAGTGATTGAAAGATCTCCCTTGGTATCAGACCATCTGTTGTCGATTGATGCTTGATTACCTATGTTGCTTGCATTAAGCAAACCAAGCGTAGCATGCATGAAGGAGTGAGATGCTTCTTCTATTCTATTCCTTGTATAGCTGGGCCATCCTGGATTTGAACCAGAAACCTCACCCATGAAGTAAATCATCGCACCTACAATCCAACCAATTGGGAGATAATCAATAGATTTCTTTTCGGGCTCATCTCAGTGCTATCCAAGGCTTTCTCCCTTTCTAAGGCACCACTCGCTAANCGAACCAAGTGGAGCATGCATGAAGGAGTGAGATGCTTCTTCTATTCTATTCCTTGCATAGCTGAGCCATCCTGGATTTGAACCAGAAACCTCACCCATGAAGTAAATCATCGCACCTACGATCCAACCAATTGGGAGATAATCAATAGATTTCTTTTTGGGCTCATCTCAGTGCTATCCAAGGCTTTCTCCCTTTCTAAGGCACCACTCGCTAAAACGTCTCTATCTCCTTGTGCAAAAACGTCCATGCTTCTATTCATCATCTCTCTGTTGCTTGTGGAAGGAAGAAAGAGAACGACATTGTCCTAGCTCTAGTCAGGAAAAAGGAGTTTTGAAAAAAAGTCAAGTAATGTGAGTTACCAAATGGAGAAATAAGCTTCGAAAATGCAATGTAATGCAATGAAAAGTTGAATAAGCCACCGTATGAAACAAGACACCTTGGTTTGCCCAAATGAAGGAGGTCACTCATGCCCTCANATGACATTGTCCTAGCTTTAGTCAGGAAAAAGGAGTTTTGAAAAAAAGTCCAGTAATGTGAGTTACCAAATGGAGAAATAAGCTTCGAAAATGCAATGCAATGCAATGAAAAGTTGAATAAGCCATCGTATGAAACAAGACACCTTGGTTTGCCCAAATGAAGGAGGTCACTCATGCCCTCAACCCCCTATCACTATTAGGGCCTTAAGGCATAGGAGCAAATGAGACGAGTCTAGATTCAGACAAGGCCTGGGCCTAATTCATAGGTTAAGCCCAAACCATCAAAAAGTAGGCCAGACTTAGTTCTTGGCCTCAGTCTAAATCAAAAACCCAAGAGTCCAGCAAGAGTTAACGTACATAGAAGAGCAATCATCGGGATAGACATTACTCCANACGAGTCTAGATTCAGACAAGGCCTGTGCCTAATTCATAGGTTAAGCCCAAACTATCAAAAAGTAGGCCAGACTTAGTTCTTGGCCTCAGTCTAAATCAAAAACCCAAGAGTCCAGCAAGAGTTAACGTACATAGAAGAGCAATCATCGGGATAGACATTACTCCAACATAAAGTTCATCCCCAATTGTAGCTAGCCTCCTCGATAAACTAATACCTTGACCCTCCCGTCACCGCTTTAACTAGGGCTTAGTGCTTATAAATTGTAATCCTCTTACACATGGGAGTATGATATCTCATATNCCCGATAAACTAATACATTGACCCTCCCGTCACCGCTTTAACTAGGCTTAGTGCTTATAAATTGTAATCCTCTTACACATGGGAGTATGATATCTCATATCTCACCTTGAGCACACTATCTCTCTCTACCTTACTACCTTGTTCCCTCATTAATAAAGTTCTTCAAACACCGTTGTTGCCTTCAGTGGTTTGGTCANATCTCACCTTGAGCACACTATCTCTCTCTACCTTACTACCTTGTTCCCTCATTAATAAAGTTCTTCAAACACCGTTGTTGCCTTCAGTGGTTTGGTCACCCAAACCCAACCACCTAACCTTTGTCTCTTATTATTGATTGTCTCATTAATTGCTTTACATCACACTCGACTGATTTAATTGTATATAAATTCAATTTTGTGCATCATTAGTTTCATGCTTGCATCAAATGTATTTTTCTATTTATTTTCCAAAAAACCATATGATGTGAAGAAACATCATTAAAAAAGATGGATAAATGAAAATTATAAAATATTGTAAGTAATATTATTTGAACCTGGTTAACTATTTACTACTTAATTCGAATCTATTAAAAGCGTAATCAATAATTCTGCTTTCAAAAATTGTAATAAATCATTAAATAAATTGAAAAGTACNAATCAATAATTCTGCTTTCAAAAATTGTAATAAATCATTAAATAAATTGAAAAGTACAATAGATCAATATTTTTGCATGAAAATGACAATATTTTAATAATAGATTTGACTTTTAATTCATTGTACTCGTTAGCAGCAAGTTTCAATGGTACAGGGGGTCTATTTGGTCTGAAAAACATTATGCATATGTAACTGTTGTCAACTAATCCATAAATTTGCACCTTTTTTTTGTGTTAATAACATTTTTTATCACTAAAGTATGTATTTTTTGTCAGTTTAGTTCTTATCATGTCAATTTTTTTAATTTAGTCTCTAAAATATTTAAATTGTATCATTTTGATTCCTTCATAGACAGACCGTTAAATTTTTTACAGAATGATCANTTGTCAGTTTAGTTCTTATCATGTCAATTTTTTTAATTTAGTCTCTAAAATATTTAAATTGTATCATTTTGATTCCTTCATAGACAGACCGTTAAATTTTTTACAGAATGATCACGCTTTGAAAATGTGATATCATCCAAATAAAAAAAATATAGTTATTTATGTTAAAAAACTTGACGAATTGTCTGATTAGTGATCAAAATGACACAAATTAAATATTTTGTGAATCAAATTGATATAATGAGGAATAAATCGATGAAAAATATATATTTTAAAGATCAAAAATATTAGTAAGTCCTTTTTTTTTTTTAAGTGATTGGCTATGTCCAACACAGATTACTAATTAAAAAGGATTACAATACCCTTTGCCGCCCCCTTCCCTAAAGTTCTCTATTTTTAAATTCAATCACCCCTTTTTTCATTAAAAAAATTAAAATTGTTTATTTTGGAGGAGAAATAATTTTCTTACTCAAAAACAATAGACTGACAATTCGAAACAGCCAACCAACCAATCAACCAACAAGTATTTGTAGACAATTCTCTTCTCTCTACACGACCAGACAAAGCTCCGACGAATCTCCCAAAGTGCTCTCACCACATCGCCCCAACCTTTCTCTTCGTTTCGTTTCAACTCTCTCTCTCTCTCTCTCTCTCTCTCTCTCTCTCACACACACACACACTTATTCGTTCGTGAATGGAAGCAATCAGGAAACAAGCCACTAGACTCAGAGAGCAGGTCGCGAGGCAACAACAGGTACTCTTTCTCTCATATTTGTGTGTGTTGAAGTACAATCGATTCCATATATACGTCGTACACTATGTTTATGAAGTCTGACTGGATTTCCAGAAACTTCTGTTAGATCGATGTATAGTTTCATTTGTTCGGTCAATACAGAGATCCATGAAATTATGACTNTACTCTTTCTCTCATATTTGTGTGTGTTGAAGTACAATCGATTCCATATATACGTCGTACACTATGTTTATGAAGTCTGATTGGATTTCCAGAAACTTCTGTTTGATCGATGTATAGTTTCATTTGTTCGGTCAATACAGAGATCCATGAAATTATGACTATTATGTTATTCGGTACTTGTATACATTCTTCATTTTGTTTAATTCGCTTTCGATTCTTGCGTTTCTGTGTATCCTAGTTTTGAATCTTCCAAATTCATGAAATAATTTTTATGTTCTCTATTATTATGCAGCAATGTTTTGAGTTGTCTTGATTTAGATGAAATTGAGAGAGAGAGAGAGAGAGAGAGAAGAGATTCTTTTTTGGTTTGGTTAGGTCACTTTCAGACGAGTCCCTAGTCAGCGTGTTAGTAATTATTAGATCATTATTTGATGCATTTGAATCNTTCAGATGAGTCCCTAGTCAGCGTGTTAGTAATTATTAGATCATTATTTGATGCATTTGAATCTTGGAATGGAGAATGCTTACATTAATATGTGATTGCGACAATGTATAACATAACTAATTTTATGGTGGTTAATGATATGTGGATTTTATGTTGGTGAAATTGTGATTTATTTATGCTCGTGGGGGTATGATGTTTGGTAAGTTGAAGAATTGGCTTCGTGCTTAGTTAGTGTTACTTGTTAAGGTTTTCTCTAGTGCTGGGAATATTGAAGTTGGAAGTATTCATGCTATTATAATTGTTGAACCAAGAAGTTGAGCAGTTGAATGTGTGTCTCAGATTAGTTAATGAAATGAAAAAAAAAACTTTTATGGCTTTGTTTTTGTATTGTAGAGATCAATTTTCTAAGGGAAAAACTCAACTCAACTCAACAAAGCCTCTATCTCAACTATTTGGTGTTGGTTATATGAATCATGTTTCTCTATTTCAGTATTCTTGAGGATTTGTTTTGTTTCATTTATTGGGAAATGTCATCCTCAATATGATTTTAACTTCTAGAAAACTTGTCACAATTTAATGAAAGGTTGTTGGTTTTCAAATAGGGGCAAGTTGTTTTTTGGTTTCCACCATGATGCAATTAACTAATGAATGCATGGTTATGACCCATTGTTTTGCCTATTATGGACTTCATAGTTGCTTCTAGTTTGTTCAGTCATTTCTGTAATTTGCTAAAACTGCCAATTATAGTTGACACCTACACGGAATTGGTGAAACAAATTATGTTTCAACTTCCATAGGCCCACCCACCAAGCCCGTGGTAGTTTTTTATTTCTTTATTATCTTTGTTTACATAAACAGGGGTTTCTTTGGATGCTTGCAATCAGTTGTGGTGCCCATTTCTTTTATTTAAATGATTCATGATAATGTATGTAGTTCCAACTTTGGTCGAGTTTGTAATTATCCTTCCGTCTTTACTTTGTCATTTATCTTCGATTAAATGTGTCACCTGGTGGTTAGTATCTTTGTTCATTAGCGTCAATCCTTTTTTTTTAACTGAAGACTTGCTGTTTTTATCATCATTGAGTTAAATTTCAGGCTGTCCTCAAGCAGTTCGGCGCTGGCGGATATGGAGGTTCTGATAATGTTGTTACTGATGAAGCTGAATTCCAGCAGCATCAAAAACTTGAGAAGCTTTACATATCAACACGCGCTGCCAAGGTTGCCAAATCCACCTATGCCTTAAATCTGCCTTTGTTTCCTTTTTTGGTTATGTGGATTGATGGGTTCTTTCTTGTATCCTTGAGTGAATGAAATTTTTTTTAGGCCATAACAAGCATGTGGAGGAGCGTTCTTACATTCCACAATATCGACTACTGGTAAAATAAATTAATTGGGATGGACCTCATAACCTATCTTTGAGTAATGACCCAACTTTTGAAGCCCATTCTACTATCTTGTTTGCCTCTTGTGATGTGCTTAGGACTAACTAAGCCAAACTTTGGTTTAGTGTAAATCTAACAGTATTAGCACCTATAGGCAATCTACCTCTTCTAACTACAATTATCCTGCAATAGGATTTCTCTTATTCTGAAGTCACGTGTTCTTCCTTGGTTTACAGAAGTTTACCTTTTTTTTTCAGCACTTTCAAAGGGATATTGTACGGGGTGTAGAAGGATACATCGTTACTGGGTCCAAACAAGTTGAAATAGGTGATTTATTGAAGTTTGATGTTATGTTTTGGTATTCTAATCTTGACACGTCAAAGATGTTGACACTAATATCCGCTCTACAACTTTATCAACAGGGACAAAGCTGTCTGAAGATAGCAGGAAATATGGAGTTGAAAATACATGTACCAGCGGTAGTACATTATCCAAAGCTGCAAGGGGTTTTGGGCGAGCTCGTGCTCAAATGGAGAAAGAGCGTGGGAATTTATTGAAAGCGTTTGGCACACAGGTCTGATATTGAGCTTTCTTTTTGTTCTTTTACAAGATGCTGCTATGTGTATCCTCCTGCATTGGGGTGTTTTTTAAGTCATGCCCTTTATTGTGATTACTGCCAGCTACCCTGTTTTGGTCTTTCTCACTGTCACTGGCTTCTGCTTTGGCTAGATAAGATTCAGCCTTGCAATATGCACGGTAGTATAAGAAAAGGTACAGAATCTATATTTGCAGCAGTTTGCAAAGAAAGGCAAAGAGAAAAAAGAGGCAGGAATTTTACTTGCATAACATCTACAATTGGATTAAGAAAGCCTTGGGCAATTTGGCAAAGAGAAGACTACTCGAATAAAGAGCTAAATTTTGGAATTTTTGGGGCAATTTTAGGATTTATGGAAATTCCTGAGCAATTATTTGGAAATTTTCGGAAAATATGGGACAATGTGATTTCTGGAAATTCCTGCGTAATTTTGTAATTTTGGGAACTTCTAGAAAAAATTTCTAGAACTTTGGTAACTGGGCTAGGCTACTGTTGGGCTGAGGTATTGAGCCAGATCTTTGGACTGGGTTCTAAAGTTTGTGTAAAGGCCGGATCAAGTTCTGTTCGACCCAGTCCTTAGGCCTTCTTTGTTTCCCGGATGATAGGTCCAATACAATATCGTGCCAAGTTTTAACATTTTAAGGATTTGAAATCGAGTCATTTAAGCAATGGGTCAAGTCTCTTGTTTTAAGAAACTGGGCAGATCTAGATCTTAACAAAGAAACTGGGTCTGGTTTATTCTAGTATGAAGTACTGGTCGGGTTTAAGATTATGAAACCACTTTGTTGCCTGGGTCTTCTTCCCGACTACTGGTTCTAAATTGCCAAACCCTAGCAATCAGCCGATTGCAGAGTGCCGAAGGTGTCGAACGGTGATGAAGACGAAGGGAATTGCCGACGATGACTGTGATTTCGGGAATGACTTCGGCCTGGGACCCTTCTGTCTTGCGAATTCTAGAGCAGCATGAGGGTTTCTTTTGTTATTTGGGTTTCCCGATGAAGCGGTGGTATATGATTAAATCTTTTAGTATGCTACTGCATCATTGGTTGCACAATACCTAAGTTTCTGCCCTAAATACACTCTTTTAGTCTGGAAAATCTTCTCCCCAATTATTAGCCTTTAAATCTAAAGGTTTCAATGGGTCCTGCCTAAATATACAACCTATAATTACACAACTTTTGATCTAAGAACTGGTTTCAGTAGAGACTTGAGCAGTTAAGCTATCTTCAATCTCCTACTTAACGTATTAGATAAATATATATGTTACAGTTTGCTTAAGCTTTTAGCGAGATAGCTGTTCTATATATCCTAGAGTTCAAATTCCATAAGGTCTCCTACCCTTACTGTATTGAAAAAAAAAATCACAAGGATGGACACCCAAGAGAGGCGATTATATGAAGCGGGGTGTTGATGTTGGATTTTTTCAGAAGAGTTCGGAAGAAGCAGTAACACTCAAAGTCTGAGTATAACTCAATCCCTTTATAATAAATCAAAGCCTCAATACACCAATCGCTTAATTTATTTGGTCCATGTTTCTCATAATTTGTTTTTTGTACCATGCCTGGTCATACATGGTTGAGATTAGGATATTAATGGAGAGGGGATTTGATTTTTAATTGATAATGTCATTAGATTCCTGATATTGTTTTTTTGAATGTAGTACAGCCTAATCAGTTTACTCGGTTTAGCCTATTTCTTTTGCATCCTTTTTCCCTTGTCCTTCCAGCATGTGTTGGTCTTATCAGTTAAGTGCTTAGTGTGATGCTTGATACCTCATTACCAGGTTGCTGAGCCGTTGAGAGCAATGGTAATGGGAGCTCCATTGGAAGATGCTCGACATCTGGCTCAACGTTATGATAGAATGCGACAAGAGGCTGAAGCTCAGGTATTTTAATTTGATTTTTTTATTGTGTTAATGGGCTGCATATTCTGCCACCTGTTTGTGGTTTCATTTCCTCTTAAACCTAGGCTATTGAAGTTTCCAAACGACAAGCAAAAGTGAGAGAAGGAACAGGCAACCCTGACATGGCTTTGAAACTTGAAGCTGCAGAAGCAAAACTACAGGATCTGAAATCAAACATGGCAATCTTGGGGAAGGAGGCTGCTGCAGCAATGGCTGCTGTTGAAGCTCAACAACAAAGGCTGACTCTGCAGCGGCTTATTTCCATGGTAATGCTTTCTGCTCTTTTGTTACTGTTGAATTAAATGCAGTACCACTGTTTAAGAGAAAATATTTCAGGAAGTTGTTTCTTAGGTTGTTTAACTTCTGTATTGAAGGTTGAATCAGAACGTGCCTACCATCAGAGAATAATACAGATACTCGATCAGCTAGAAGGCGAGGTACGCAATAAATTTTGCAAGATCTTTAAGTTGGTATAAGTATTTGTTACCTCTTGCAGTTGGATCTAAAGGCTCTCATGACTTAGGATTTTTTTTTCCTGAACCTGATCATTTGCTGTGTTTTTTTGTAATTGACAGATGGTATCAGAGCGCCAACGAATTGAAGCACCTCCTAGTCCAAGTATGGATACTATGCCTCCACCTCCATCTTATGAAGAAGTAAATGGTGTATTTACTTCACCAGTGCATAATGGATCAACTGATAGCATGGGTTACTTTTTAGGAGAAGTAAGTGAATTATTACACAGCTCAACCACATGTGCTGCATTTCAAAAGCGGGAGGTCACATGATCAAACCTTGACAATTCCTTGGGGCCATCCCCCCAGGGATTTATCCCTTTAATTGCATGGTGCATCTGGAAGGGGGGCTGCTTATGCTCTAGAGGATTAGGCGGGTGCATATGTTGTACTTTGTACTGGACTTAGAAGTGTATTGATCGTTTTGATGACTGTTTTATTGTTCTCTGATTCTAGTAAATTGCTTCTTACATTTGTTGCAGGCTATGTACTCATATCAAGCTGAATCCGACGTGGAGCTTACTTTGTTGGTTGGCGACTATGTGGTTGTTCGAAAGGTTAGCAGTCTTATTGAGAATTATTCTCTTCAATGCTTTAGGGCTTATTGATGGATTACTTCGGTGTATTTCTTAATTCTAAAAGTCAGTCACTTGAAGTTGTAGCTTCTAATAGCTATACTTTGGTTTTCCTTTCCTAGCTCATCCTGGGAATTACCTGGGATCACAGTTTGTCCCATGATTAACAATATGATCTGCCAGCTTTCATCTCACATACTCGGTAGCTTTGTGTTTTTTCACTCTTTTTTGTCGTCCACATTATGCATTGGTTTGTTCTCTCAGTTACATCAATCTCTTTGATCATTATTGCAACAGCCATTTCAGGTTCTTCAAACATTGCAAGCATACCATGGAGTTATAGTTTATCCCTGCGGCTTTATTTTATTTTCTTAACTGTTTAATCACTGTCTTATTGTTCAATGNTACATCAATCTCTTTGATCATTATTGCAACAGCCATTTCAGGTTCTTCAAACATTGCAAGCATACCATGGAGTTATAGTTTACCCCTGCGGCTTTATTTTATTTTCTTAACTGTTTAATCACTGTCTTATTGTTCAATGCAGTATTTTTTTTTCCCCTATTCTTTCTATTCTAGTTTTAAGCCACTCTTGGATTTCATACCCAAACCCTTGTAACAGCTGTTTACATTCAGTGTATTTGTACTGAATCCAGCCCAAAAAATGATACATGTTTTGCTATTTTCTCAGGTTTCCAACAATGGGTGGGCGGAAGGTGAATCCAAAGGGAAAGCAGGTTGGTTCCCCTTTGGGTACATTGAAAGACGGGAACGAGTTCTTGCTAGCAAGGTGACTGAAGTATTCTAAACATTACCGAGTTAGAGCAGGTGCTTGTTCTTACAGATAAGAACACAAATCCTGGACTGCTCCTGTTTATATGCATAGCTTTCACCATTTTTCATATTTGTACGTGTGTTTTGCTCGCTCTCTCTCTCATTTTTTATTTTTAACTTCTAGTAATGTTAGACTGACCAAAATTTGGGACCAAATTTAGAGTTCAAATGATATGACAGTTGATTTGGGCTTCTTTGATTGGTGTTATATTATTTGGGTTCCAATAAAAACTATAAATAATTAACTGTCATGTCATTTGGGTTCTAAATTTAGTCCCAAAATTTGGTTAGTATAGCATTAATCTTTTAACTTCTATTTGTATTGTAGATTCAGGAATACAATTCATTTTTGTCATTTTTTGGTGATATTTTTGACAGATTATGAGTGAGAACTCTGTTATCTTTTTATTCGTANGCTCTAAATTTAGTCCCAAAATTTGGTTAGTATAGCATTAATCGTTTAACTTCTATTTGTATTGTAGATTCAGGAATACAATTCATTTTTGTCATTATTTGGTGATATTTTTGACAGATTATGAGTGAGAACTCTGTTATCTTTTTATTCGTATCTTATATTTTTCCTTTTTAGTTTTCCCTCATCTATTTTGTGGACAGTTTCCTGTGTTTATGTTCGTTACTTTGACAAGTCAGCTGCTCTAGGTAAGGTTATGTGGAGTGTTCTTGTTCTCGTTAATATTCTGGTGGTTGAGAAAATATTGAGCTTACGACACGGACCACCTAACAGTGCCAAGTGGTGTAGTCCAAGGTCTTAGCAAAAAGCCCAAAGTCCAATGGGCTGTTGAGAGTCCGGCATGCCAATGGCCTAACAGGACGTCCAGCCTGTACATGTGGCAGGCTGTGGGTAGCCTGCTTGGCGTAAGGCCTGGGCTGTATTGTTGGGCTGGNTAACAGTGCCAAGTGGTGTAGTCCAAGGTCTTAGCAAAAAGCCCAAAGTCCAATGGGCTGTTGAGGGTCCGGCATGCCAATGGCCTAACAGGACGTCCAGCCTGTACATGTGGCAGGCTGTGGGTAGCCTGCTTGGCGTAAGGCCTGGGCTGTATAGTTGGGCTGGTGTCTCAATGGGCTGGGCTGTTAAGAAGCCTGATGCACTGGTCCATTAACAAACCCGTTAGACCAACCAATTAAATTTTATTTCATAGTTATTAATTTGTTGATTTNTAGTTGGGCTGGTGTCTCAATGGGCTGGGCTGTTAAGAAGCCTGATGCACTGTTCCATTAAGAAACCCGTTAGACCAACCAATTAAATTTTATTTCATAGTTATTAATTTGTTGATTTGATATTTGGTGTGTAACTATTAAAGAGATAAAATTTGCAAAAGATTTAAAATTGTTTTTTATAAAAAATGTCCGTTTCATTGCTGCTAACAGCCCATAAGGACCAGCTTTACTTGGCCCACGAATGGGTCATGAGCCTTTAAATAATTTTAAAAGCCCATTTCAGGCCCCAAGTAGTAGTTCATATTTAGCCCACTTTTGGCCCAATAAGGGGCCCACTGACAGGTGCTGGGTCTTAAAATAATTTAAAAGCCCGTTTTAAGCCCAAATAGCAGCCCATTAATTTTTTTAAAAGCCCATTAAAATAGCCATGTTTAGCCCTTTTAGCCCAATAAGTCGGCCTACTGACAGATCATGGGCCTTAAATAATTTAAAGCCCAAATTGCAGCCTATTAATATTTTAAAGAGCCCCTTTTGGCCCAATAAGTCGGCCTTTTGACAGGGCCATGGGCCTTAAAATATTTACAAGTCCGTTTTAAACCCAAATAGCAGCCCATATTACGCCCCTTTTGGCCCATGGGCCTTAAAACTATTTTTAAGCCCAAATAAAAGCTGATAAGAATCAGTCCATAATTAGCCCACTATTGNTATTGACAGGGCCATGGGCCTTAAAATATTTAAAAGTCCGTTTTAAACCCAAATCGCAGCCCATATTTCGCTCCTTTGGCCCATGGGCCTTAAAACAATTTTTAAGCCCAAATAAAAGCTGATAAGAATCAGTCCATAATTAGCCCACTATTGGCCCAATAAGTCAGGCCATGGGCCTTAAAAAAAATTCCCATAAAATTATTTTTACAAAAATTTCATTTCAGGCCCAAATAACAGCCCATTAGATTTCACCCCTTTTTAGCTTGCTTTTAGGCCCAATAAATTGGCCCACGGACCCTAATTAATATGTCCACTGCATATGTACAGGAGTTCGTTGTTTGCTGGCACAAATGATTGCTGTAATGTGAAATTAGGGTTGGTAAATGAGCTACTTGGCTTGGATTTATCTTATTTTGAGCTCGACTTCAGCTCGTTCATTTCAAAAACGAGCTTAACTCGAATAATTTTTTAAACTCGGTTAAAAATAAACCCTCTAAACTCAACTTGTTTTAAACTTGAACTCCAAAAATTTGACTCGTTTATACGTAAAATACTTGATAGTTAAGTTACCATTTTGAAAANACGAGCTTAACTCGAATAATTTTTTAAACTCGGTTAAAAATAAACCCTCTAAACTCAACTTGTTTTAAACTTGAACTCCCAAAATTTGACTCGTTTATACGTAAAATACTTGATAGTTAAGTTACCATTTTGAAAAACGATCTTGGACTCGAACTTATTAATTCGGCTTAGTTACCACCCCTGTATGAAATCCTCTGCAAATTATAGGAAGCTACAAGATGCACCAAGAGGGAAAGCGAAGTATTGGATGCGTATAGTTGATACGTACGCTTACGATGTTTGGGAAAGGATCAAATGAAACAATAATATGGACTGAGGTTCACCATCAAGTAGCTCCTTGCAATTTTATGAAACTATATAGAAAGATAAGAGAAAGAAGTGCAAGCTACATATTACAGTGTTACTTCACAATATTTCAATTTGGTTACCTGGACAAATTCCCACGTTCGTGACAAAGTAGAAATGGAGTCAAAAAGTCGGCTCATCTTGTTCTTCTATTGAGTCGTCAAACTTTCGATGAGAAGAATTTGTTGGCCTTGCAAGCTACAGAAACCGCATACACACTCATGTAATGTTTTTTCTGCAAACAGTTTAGGATTACGATTATAATAGTGTACTTAAGCATGAGCTTGACGAAATTAGTTCTGAATAACCAGATCCTGAGGTTCTCCCAGCAGCAAATCCTGCAAATACAGAACAAAGAATAAGATCCCCATGGAAAGAATTTCGGTCAAAATTATTAAATTTTCCTGTAACAGAACTTACAAATATTATCTAGGCGATTTCTTGCAGCCAGATATGCAAAAAGGATAGCCAGGATAACGAATAATAGAAGAACCTGCAAAGAAATTAGATTATTGTGAGTAGATGTTTGTTGCTCGAAACACAAGAACAGAAACATACAAGCATAAATGCTCACCAGAGCTGAATTGGATCTTGGCTCGCTGACCATGTAAGATCTCCTGGTGAAACCCGAAAATGGTCAGACACCAGATGACAATGTTTTGAAAGAAGAACTAGAAACTTTAGCAAACCTCTTGTCCAGGGTTCCAAAGTTCCTGCAAACTTTCTGAACTGCCTCTATCCTGCTTAATGTTTTTGTAGCATTGGGATCATTCTTGTCAACCTACAGTAATCAGAATTACAGGTTGATAGTCAAAATGCTGTAAATTTTTAGAATTGTGTTGGCAAAAAAGGTCAGCTAGGTTCATAAATAACGTAGCAACATACCTTGGACTTCAGCATACAAGAAAAATCGAAGAAAGCGCCATACACGTCGGACATTGTTCTAGTTCTGTCAATGACTTTGGCAGTCAGACCTAGAAAAGGAAATCACAATCAGAGAAGAAGAATGGAACACAAAACAGCCATCCCAAATACAAATACTATTCAGTTAAAAAAAAAATACAAATACAAATACTATGACAACAAAGAGTAGCACAGACAGANGAAATCACAATCAGAGAAGAAGAATGGAACACAAAACAGCCATCCCAAATACAAATACTATTCGGTTAAAAAAAAAATACAAATACAAATACTATGACAACAAAGAGTAGCACAGACAGAATGAAAACCTTTCCCATCTAGCAGTCACAATCCTTCATGAAGATTAGGAAGAGAGGAGGAGAAGGGAGGGGGGAGAGATGTTTATTCTCAAACTAGTTGAAATATATGATATTAAAGCCCATATATATAAAGTTGAAACATCTATTGAGTGCTTGTTAGTCAATGGAAGAGTGGATAGTCCACGTGGTAGAATTTGATTGGAGCAAACCTTAGGTAATAATACAAATCAAAATTGTGGACTCTAGGGAAATGGGGAGGTAAGACTATGAAAGCCTCACCCCAAAAAAATGACTTTTTATGGATGTAATTTAACACATTATTTGCAAAAGACATCAAAGTCAATTTAAAAAGTAGCACCTGAAAACACTATGTCACCAGGAAGCATCACGTGATAGCAGTTTTAAAAGTGTGAATTTCTGGAATGAAGGTACCTTCTGACAAAATTGCTTTTTTGAACAAATTGATATCATATCAACCAGCTTCTATTCTAGACTGTGTTTTGGAAATGGCAACCAACAGACTGGGGGGAAAGAAGAACAATACCAAAGGCCAATGTGCCCTGACTCAGGGTACAGCTGACTACCTTCAACCCGAGACCCTCTTCAAATTGTCATCCCTATGCTGGTTCATGGCAAACGTCACTACCATAAATTTGGGAAGCACTCAGCTCGTGATGTGATGACCAAGGTTGATAGTTGTTAGGTTCGGAGCCATGGTTATTTTTTGGCTTTGCAGCTCATTTGAAGGCTTATTCAGCTTTGTCATTTTAGTCATTGCATTGAGAGACAATAGCTTTTATTCCAAAGATCAAATTTAGAATAATTAAAATGAAGGTAAGACAGGCACCATGTAAAACTGAATACGTAAAAAGAGAATGGTCCTATGATGCAGTGCAGTGCCGACTGGAAGTTATCTTACCTCGTCTCATTTTCACTACCCCTCGGAAGACTTCAATGTTGTTGTAGCATAAAGCTAAGGTTCCAATTGCCATGATCTGGTACAAGTAGTACATACCAGATCAGATGTATGTATGTTTATGTAATGAAATCAGTTATATTTCTATTGCATAAACATCATCATTCTTGTACTGCAAACTCAGTTTTAGTGTTTTACTGAGTAGTGAAAAATTTGCACATCAAATGTTAGATAATTACAGAATAGTATACAGCTGACTGATGCAATGAATTTTTCAACCAAGTTCCAACACACTGCAACTAATCCACAACGTAAAGCATCTACACAGCAGGAGCTATTTTCCAAATAAGTAACCTCTTCGTTTTGCACTATTCAAGCTCGAACTCCAAGAAATTGAAAAACAATTCCAGTTTGCTGATACTTGGTTTATTAAGCTAAAAACTTGATAGGAAATAACACATCACGCTAATGGCATTCATTGAAAACTTCTAGAGGTTTTAGTGTCATTTGTTATCATCTATAGTTTTGCAGCAGTAAACGAGCGCCAAATAAAGGATACAATGCAGTGGCATCACATGACCACTCGGAATTGGCATAAGTTTCCCTATTCCCTAATCAATAAATACAGGTCAAATAATCTCCCTGAAACATATAATCCCCCCACCCCATCTAAAAGAAAAAGAACACATGCAAGAAAGCTATTCTTATGCATTAACAAGAATCCACTCGCATAGTAAACAGCGCTCGCCCTAGTCAAATCCAGATCTTGTTCCTTTGCGAGCGGAAGTCAGAACAAATACCGAGACTCCTTTCTTTTACGCCTTATTAGTTATGAAAACGGTTTGTTTGTAATGAAAAGGAAAGAGAAGGCGGCTGTAGAGATAGAGTCTTTACGGGCAATGAAAGCGGTAGGGCAAGTGAAACATTCTATCTTTGTCAGGCTTAAGGTAAAGGGCATGAGAGAAAGAAAGTTCTTGTTTCCGGGCATATCGATGGGAATAAGAGCAAGCGGTAAGTGAGGCAATTCCTTCCGGTAGTGGATCAGAGTCAAATCTCTCTTTTCGGAAGCGAAGTCGTAACTTATACCGTTCGAAACGCGCTCCAGAAGACAGTAGGCACTGCACTGCCTACTGTACAGAGATCTTACTATGTAGGTTTCAGAAGACAGTAGGCACAGCAAGTTATACTTAAGTATCTAACCCTGAACACCACTTCAGTTACAATTACCTGTGGAATAGCACAGAAGCGGAAGATAGCAGGATCTCGTAAAGAAGACATGTAAGTCAGGCAGTCTTCTACATGGAATAAAGCATTTGTGACCATGTCATTCAGGCACTGCACTGCCTTGACTGAGTTTTCCTCATATTTCAATTCCTGAGCAGCATATTACCAAAGCAGCCATTTGAAAAAAATGCAACAAAATAAGAATCAGCCAGCCAATTTGCTCCTAGTAAACTATGATTGGTTTCATATCATGAGAAGACCAAAATGACTGGTAAAAAGCAGCAATATTAAATGTGGGATTAAGCACATGAAAGAGAAAACCTCAAGTTTGTTGACGTATTTACTCCATATTTGGCGAGGCCAAAACATTCGTGATTTTGGTATCTCATTAATGTCCTCCAGGTAATCTCGAATAATGTTGGTTTTCTGTTATTTGTTGCATGCAAAAGATACATGTAAGAATTAGACTTCCAAACATATATGTAGACAGAGAATGAAAAACGTTGGTGGCTATGCATGTTGAAATCAATACCTGAAGAAATAAACCCATTGAATTGGAGAGAGAATCTGAAAGTAAATCTTCAGAACCAGAGGCATGGAAAAGCTTTGACAGCCCTAATCCAACAAGGCCTGCCACATAGTGACAATACTCGTCGTAGTCATCAATTGTTTCTACCTGCAAGAGGAGGAAGGGCACACATAACATAAACTAAACACATCAGCTACATTTCAAATATAGCTCCAGGGGCATTGCAAATACTTCAATAACCTGGCACTTGATCGGATTTTTATACAATAAGATAACGATATTGTACACCGATTCAGCCAAATTTTACACTAATTGTAGTTACGTATGAAGACAGCTACATGAGAAAGGGGAGAGAACATACACAGGTCACCTACATGGTAACAACATTTGGTCGCTCTCCATACTGTTTATTGAACTTGTAAATCTTTCCAAATAAAAAGTTTAATTATCTCCTTGTGAATATACGTGATGGACCATAACATAAAAACTCTTTAATCATTTAGTTGCTTTGTAGAATCATAAAAATGAAACAATAGAGGTTAAATGCTAAGCCATCCAGAATCATTAACCCCTGATGAAGCAGACTTCGAAAAACTGGGGAGAACGGCATAGGAACCAAATGACTTTGGGAAAAAAGTTCCACAAACCCTTCTAAAAATCAAACTTTGATCGCTCAGAGTACTACCTTTATATTACCGAGAGAGAGGGCACTCAGACATTTTATCCACTCATTATGCTAGAATTATTGACACGTACACAAGAACAGGAAGCTACAGAACTCAATTTGGTTTTATTGACAAAAGTCACAGAATCAACCCATAAAATCAACTCACATTCCTTTAAAGAAAGTCCTGAATTAATGCACACTTCACTCTTGCATGATGTTCATTACGTACCTCCTTGCATATAAATTTTGCCATTCCTGCACCCATTCTCATTGTAATATCCTCTATGGCCTCTTGATAACTGCAGAATAGGGTGCGTATTGTAAGCGTATCTTTCCAACTCACACATGTAAAGAAGACATAAATAAACTCATTTTTGGGATCATAATTCTTTAGTCTATAACATCAAGTGAAGCTTATAATGGCATCAGGAAGCTATAAATTGTTCATAAGAAGTAACCTGCTGCCAAGCTCCAGAAAAGCAGTGGAAACATCATGAAACTGGTCCATGAGAACTTTGTAGTCCTTCGTACCACCTTTCAACAGTAATTATATGTATATTTAACATTTGTACAAAATAAATTGGATGTGTATATAATATCACCGTGATGACAAGATATTGATAAATTTAGCTAGAATTTGAATGAAAACATGCTTGCAATGGCCTAGGATAGGAGGATCATATGATGATCAGTTTTTCATATGAATTAGATTGCCAATATAATGTTGGGCACAATTCAGAAATGTTATTTTTTTCACCTATCTATGGTTTCAAAATTTCAAACAGAACTATCAAATCCTGTAACAAGGTTGAAAAGTGCCCGATATAAGTGTTGACGCCATATTATTTTAGTGCTATGACCCTGTGAAGGTGTCAAATACTAAGATGTCCATAACAAAGACGCTCAATAGTCTCATCCTGCCCTAACACAATTCCATTGCAGTGTCCAGTGAGTTGAAGTTAATTCTGGAGCATAGAATGAACCCAAAAAAGAAGTATGGAACAGTAAAAAAAAATATAAGCAAAAGGAGTAACATACTCACAGGAAAAATGCCAGTTTCGATCATATATATGACGATGAAAAGCCATCAAAATAGGTACTTTCACGTCAGTGGGTATGCTTGTATCATCCTCTGTCCAATAAGAAAACGCCAGCATGAATGAGATGGATGTGCCAAGTAAAGTAATGAAAAAACACCATTAATCGGTCATAAACAATAGCTTCAAAATGCTCCATGAGGGAGCAAGTAACACTTTCTATATACTGCTGCTCCATATGAAGCAGAAAGAAATGCAATTATTACTTATATAACAGACGATGCAAAACAGACTGTTTGCAAGTGAATAACAAAGTAAGTGCAACGAGTTTTGTATTTTAGCAATCATTGTGGANATACAATAGCTTCAAAATGCTCCATGAGGGAGCAAGTAACACTTTCTATATACTGCTGCTCCATATGAAGCAGAAAGAAATGCAAATATTACTTATATAACAGACGATGCAAAACAGACTGTTGGCAAGTGAATAACAAAGTAAGTGCAACGAGTTTTGTATTTTAGCAATCATTGTGGACAACGAAGAATTATACAAATGGATAACAAAAAAACACAAAATAGTGTGTTTCTCATCAATACTTCAGAAACAACAACTTATAAAATAAATAATACCATACTATGCTAGCCATATAAGAGATAATTTAAGAGTAAACATTCTTCCAAACCACAGACAAAATGTAATTTTCCATCGTATAAGTGTGATAGGATAAGCATAACATTCTTCCAAACCACCAACAAAATGTAATTTTCCACCGTATAGTGTGATAGGATATGCATACATGCATCTGAAAGGCAATGCAAAACAGTGATGTACGAAAAAAATTTCATATAATTTGAAATTTCAACTTGTGAAGTATGAGGTTATGTCCACCATTTGAGTATATCCCAACTACTAACGAATCCAAAAATTCTCTATAGTGTCAATTGCATAATGGAGAAGAAACAAGGAAAATAATCGTGAAATAGAACGCTATAAGTCATTCAGAGGGTATTGAATAACATAGGAAGCATAACATCAAAGAAAATAGATCATACCGACAGTGTCAAGAGCTCGAAGAACCAGATAAAAAATACATACCTGTGAAATGGGAGATTAATAAAAACGAAATCAGAAGTGTTCTACATCAAGGACAATTTTTTTCTTTTTCTTTTTAAGTTTTGTTTGATAAGTTGCAACTAACTACTTTGCAGTGGAAAGATAAAGCTCTACATAACATAGAAGTCTATCAGTTCAATATAAATAGCAGATATGGACAAAAATAAACAAAATTTTACTTGTTAGCTGTTACTGGCTAACTGCCAAAGAAAACAGCAAATATATCATTAAGAAGAATGTAATCTAAGAAATTTAGTTCTCCCAACTGATGATTGCCATAGTACACCTTGCTGACAAAATGCTAGTGTGCACCTAAGACAAACATAATTTGGTGAGAAAAAACTATTCACCTTTATCATGTAAAGTAAAGGTATGCTTTGGAGAACAAACCACTCTTACTTCTAGTTACTGAAAATATTCTAATACTTAAAATTCTTCACAAAAATACATATAGGTTTCGTTTTTCCAATAGAGACGTAAGAACTGTCAAGTATGGCATGTTAAAGACACATATGTATAGACATGGAATGAAGTCTAGTATCTGAAGAGTTTCCGGGTTGAACCTTAAGAGTATGTGACGGAAAAAAATACTGGTGTCTGCATCTGCAGATCATTAGAGCAAAACCTGAGGATTGTTTGTCAATCGCGGTATATGGTGAAAATGATGCCTTTGTGTCACTTTCCATCAGTTTCATAAATGAAAAAGATGTTACATTTTTTTGTCAATTTATGAAGTACATATGAGAAAACAAGAGAATCCTAGAACATTTTGTGCACTTGCACACTTCGTGGTATTTGTAAATTTAAAGGTACGTAACAGAGACATGGCACATATCCGTGGCGCACTTTATCACATCAGTATGTGTCAACGTGTCGCTGCCATCATTATCAGCATCACCAAAGATTACCATACAAGAGGAACTTAAGGACTCTTCTGTCAACAAAGTTCACATAACCCTCCTCCTCCCTACACTACCACAAACTCTAGCATACTTTAGCCTTACTTAAACTAATCGTTAGATTGCTGCAAAAGTATCCAACTTGCTCAAACCTCTTCTCAGAACAAACTAAATAATAGTTCCAACACATAACCAACACTAAAAATGACCAACTGTAGAAATTTTTCTTTCCCTCCACACCAGTCAATAACTTGAAAACTTTAGGAGTATAATTATTCCCAATTTGCAAAAATTAATAACGTCCAAATTGGAATATCAAGGAGTTCCAACAAAATTGGAAGACTCGGGAACCTGACTAAATAATCGAGGAAAATACATGTAGTCACCTGAGGAAAATACATGTAGTCAGTAGTCACACACATGACACTTTACTCAAAAAAAAAATTCAATAATCAAACATGAAACGGAAAGGGTAGAAAGACCTACTTACTAATTTCTACAATATTGAACAGAAATATAAGTATTTTTCCAGATAATTCGACTTCTGATTCAATCTCTATTGCTTTTCATCACAGCGCAAAGCATGGACTCCAGCTATGTGCATTGATATACATATGCATATATACATCAAAATACATATAAATATGCATCTACAACTACATTTACAACAAAATAACAACAAAACATTCAAAAATCTCCGTAAAAATTCTCTAGTAACACAAAATCGATAGAAATTTGAGGATCGAGACTCACGGCGTTGCGAAGCTCGGTGCCAAGCTGTTGAATGACGAAGGCGAAGCTTCGAGAAACCTTGAGGAGCATTGTGTAACANCCGTAAAAATTCTCTAGTAACACAAAATCGATAGAAATTTGAGGATCGAGACTCACGGCGTTGCGAAGCTCGGTGCCGAGCTGTTGAATGACGAAGGCGAAGCTTCGAGAAACCTTGAGGAGCATTGTGTAACAGAATCCCCAGTGTGGCTCCGGTGGAATCTGCTTCTCCGCGTGCCGTGCGGCCATTTTCAGCTTCAACATCGGATATAAATCATCCGGATGCTTCAGAATCGCTCCCAAACTCACCATTCTTCACACTTCACACTGTAATTTCGTCGCAAATATTGAGTCGATCGATTATCGATCTGAATTGAATCATCAAATCAAATGATTGAATTTAATTAGGAAAATTAATTTGAGTTGCCGTACCTGTGAGCTGCTTTGTGAGTGTTTGGTCCAAAGATGGCGTCCGTTAAATGCGATTGGAACCAAGGAGTGACTCGTTCGTTGATTTCTTGTGCAGAAAAATTATATAAAGAATCGTATGAGGTTGACAGGGACCACTACCAGAGCGAGCGTGCGTGCGTGCGTGCGTGAGACACAGAGAGAGAGAGTTGACCTTTTAAATAGGCTGAATTGTTTGAGCCTTGAAGGAAGGCGTTTTGCATGTAGTAATCTTTTGGCGTGATCACTAGAGTGTTCTCACGATAATACCATCAAAATTAAGTAATTGTTTATGTGAAACGAATTCAATTGATAATTAATAATATTAAATAAATTAATATTTAATTATTAATCGATAATATTTCTTATCAATAATAATATAACATCATTACACTTAATATTTACTCCTTTTCTGACGTTTATGTTAAAGGCTTGTTTGATTATCAAAATTTAATGGTCAGACGTACACAAGTGTTTTATTTTTTATTTTTTTTTTGGTAAATGAGGGTCAATCAATCTCCAGAATTTTTAACATTGTCGTATGAATGTTCATATCTGAGGATTAATTCTATTTTCTATAATTATAACCTNACTGTTTACGTGAAACGAATTCAATTGATAATTAATAATATTAAATAAATTAATATTTAATTATTAATCGATAATATTTCTTATCAATAATAATATAACATCATTACACTTAATATTTACTCCTTTTCTGACGTTTATGTTAAAGGCTTGTTTGATTACCAAAATTTAATGGTCAGACGTACACANATTGTTTATGTGAAACGAATCCAATTGATAATTAATAATATTAAATAAATTAATATTTAATTATTAATCGATAATATTTCTTATCAATAATAATATAACATCATTACACTTAATATTTACTCCTTTTCTGACGTTTATGTTAAAGGCTTGTTTGATTACCAAAATTTAATGGTCAGACGTACACAAGTGTTTTATTTTTTATTTTTTTTTTGGTAAATGAGGGTCAATCAATCTCCAGAATTTTTAACATTGTCGTATGAATGTTCATATCTGAGGATTAATTCTATTTTCTNATCAAAATTTAATGGTGAGACGTACACAAGTGTTTTATTTTTTATTTTTTTTTTTGGTACATGAGGGTCAATCAATCTCTAGAATTTTTAACATTGTCGTATGAATGTTCATATCTGAGGATTAATTCTATTTTCTATAATTATAACCTGATTTATTAGCTTAATTCAAAAGAATTATAACATCATTAAGGAAATTATCCTAATAAAATTGATTTTTTTAATAAAATGAAGTTAGCGTAAACGAATTTGTAAATTCAAACATATTGAGTTTAACACTCAATATTAACTCTTTATTTTAATAATACTTATAAATAACAGATAATTATAAATATTTAAAATTTATCCCGGGACCTTATGTAACTTTGTCTTTTTAAAAAAAATTGTCCTAGAAAACTCAATTGAAGAAGATTTGGTGAAGACTCTCGGATGCACCAACCAAACCCACCCACCCAATTGTCATCACGTGCACACATGATTCGACGTGCAGATTCACTGGTGCCANCAGTGGAAATTCACTATCCCCAAAAAAAAAGTATACATATATTATGGGACCCATTGAAGAAGATTTGGTGAAGACTCTCGGATGCACCAACCAAACCCACCCACCCAANATCAATTGAAGAAGATTTGGTGAAGACTCTCGGATGCACCAACCAAACCCACCCACCCAATTGTCATCACGTGCACACATGATTCGACGTGCAGATTCACTGGTGCCAGTATTTTATTTTTTATTTTTATAATTTTCTAGTTCGCATTTAATATTTTATACTTGAGGTTTTTATCCGAAAATTTATATTAATACCAGCAATAACTCCGTATCTGAATCAATATTAAAAATTAAATTAATCTTGCAATATTTTTATTTTTTAATAATAATTTAATTTTTTTAATTACACAATTTAAAATTAAAAATGAAGAGAGAGGTAGATATGAATTGATAAAATTGTTTGATATTGAGAGTGTGTTGATTGAATTATTTGGCATTGGAGGTCGTGCACAGAAATCGGTGTTTTTTGCGATAAAAAAAATTTTGAGGATCAATTTTTTACCATTTAATCAAAATAGATGAAAGTTAAATTAATCTTGACTGTTATTGTGTTTTTATAAGTCGGAAATTTAACTTTTTAACTATAATATTATATAGATATTTATAATGGTGGTTTATGTTGCAACACATGTAAATGTCAAAACTCATAGAATTTTGAAGTTTTTTTTCAAGTTTACATCAATTATTTTCTCGAACTCATATTTGGCCTCAAAGATTTAAACTGATTTTAACTACTAGCGGCCCATAAGAAATATGAAAAATGTTAAACCTGAAACTCTTTATTTGTAAGATGCTAAATTTAACAACTAAATCACCCCAACCCGCGATGCGCCATTGAATTTTGAAGTTGAATTTGGAAATTTGGGTACCCTTAGGTGCGAGAATAATTCCCCTTGCCAAGCAAAGACTAGTGGATACGTTGTTGAGTCCTACAATTCGCTTGTAGTCACATGTGGGATCGGTGCCCACACGAATTCATTCTTAATTTTAGCCTCTCGAAGTAAGCGCGCAGAGGGTTGTTAATAATTTTTATTAATTAAAAATTTATCTTCAAAAGATGTAACTTATAGTTTATAATTAAAATATAATTTACATTATTAATCATAATATTTTAAAATCAATTATATCCTTGACAATTATAACTTATATCCTTAAATATTAATTTTAACCTTAAAAAATTATAACTGAGAATAATATATGTTTTGATATGATAATCTTTCTCGATAATGACACACTTAAACTTTTAAGGGATTAGCTCAATGGTAACTCAGTCACCTGATAAACTTCTCATGAAGGGTACGTCAAGGGTTCGAATTGTTGTAGAATACAATATGGTACAACAATTTCAAAAAGTAGAAAAATAATAAATGAAAATCAAATAATAGATTGTTAGACAAGGCGCGACCCTCGCTATTTTCGAGATAGTAATTTTCTCACTTATAATGTAAATGGATTGTCGAAAATTCTACCCTCAATATATAATGTCTAGNTTTTGTTTCTTTTAATTGATTATATTAACATTAAATCCAATAAAATTCTATTTTACCATTATATCAGGTATCACGCTTTGTTCGAATTAATTATACTATCTATTGAAAAAATATGTTAACAAAACTAAAATACAAAAATCTAATAATTATTTTCATATCTCAAAAGACAATAATATAAATAATAATATATATTTTATTTTTAAAATTAATAGTGTCACGCCCCATCCCGATCTCCCAAGGATGAGATACGACTAGATTTTACATACACCTGTGAACAATTATTATAAGTTGGACTAATCAAACATGATATAANGACACGTTTGAACTTGGGTTGCGTTCAAATGGATCGAAGTTCCAATATCTCAGATTCCATTAAAAAATTGAGATTTTGAAAAAGTACTATGAGTAAGGCTAGCACGTTTGAACGTCTCCTCCCTCCTTCCTTTGAGATATATATATACAAAATCATAATTTGAAGTTCTCATTATGTAGGCCTCCTTTTAAAGAAGACTCCTTGAGAGCTTGAGTGAAAAATAAAGTTTTTCTTTTATTTATAGGAGAAAATGAATCTATGAAAAACTCCCAAGAACCAATGTGAGATTCGTATATTTGCTCTCCAATTCACATACTCCAAATATTTTAGAAGAAAGTGAAAATTTTATTTTTCCACTAATCTCAATTTACAAGTACTTTGTATATACTCCTATATATATATATATATATATATATATATATATATNATAGTTTACCAGTTTGCATTCTCCTCTATAGTACCATAAAAAAGAAACTGTAGGGGTGTGAGCTAAACCACACGCTCAGTGAGTATACATGCACTATATGCAATGAAAATGATAGTAATACATTGAAATAGATAGATACTACGTAGATATACGTATCAAACAACAATATCAATCTAATTCCAAATAATTCACAATCCACATCACATCCACACTACCCCTCATTGGGTAATCGATCCCACATGGATCCGTGTCTCTTGAACCTCCCGAGAACACCACAGTGCTAGCACATCACTGCACGCCCAGTGACCAGGCATCGACGCCCCTGTTTCAAACAGTGTGTCACATTCCACAATACACAATATACAGTATAAAGCATCATCCAATCACATAAGCACGTAGCACATAATCCTGAAGAATTTCTATTAAATTTTATCATTTACTATCATCTGATAATAACATTTTCAAAACATATAAAGATATACACCCACCTCAGATGTACAAATTTATGGTCCTCCGATCCTATCAGTGGGTCCTTTCGGTGTCACCGTACCTGTTTCGGTCTCACTCATTCCACCTAACATATTTGTAATTACAATATCAATATAGTTATCAAATTTAAGAATTAATCATGCACTTATGCATGCAAATGATGCACTCCAAAGTGCCCTGGTAACTCCGGTTACCGTCCTATCCACTCACACACTAGCAATTTTGTTCTAGGGATCACATTTCCTCCCTAAATTCCCAACTTCAATCACATTAAATCACAATTAGGATTAAGCATGTCAAACACATTGACTGGGGGCTTATTTTCACATATTTTGACCCTGAATCCTAAAAACTGCACTTTCTGGTACTTCATACATTTCGCACTGAATATTATACTCATTTGCATTCAAAAGTTACACTATCACATCAAGCATTATTTAAAACTGCTACATGCAAAATTTCAGGTCATTTGAATTAAAGTTCACACATGTGATAATAACATTTAGAAATCAGGGTTTCGGCGCTA